TTATGATTCAAAATTTCCCTTGCTGTTACCTAAAAATTGCATTTTGTCGAGATTTATTTACGATTTCTCCATACAACCAATTGTCATGCTGGTCCAAAAGCCTTAGAAGTGCTGCTTCGTGAAAAAATTTGGGTCATAAATTCAAGCAAGGCATGCAGTAAAACCGTAAGAGCATGCATACATTGTTTTCGATACAAACCTAAGCTGTTGACCCAAGTAATGGGAAACTTGCCTGCAGATCGGTTAAAGGCACTACGACCCTTTTTAATTAGCGGTGTCGATTTTTGTGGGCCTGTATACACTACTTTGAAAATTCGTGGTCGACCACCAGTTAAAATGTATATCGCAGTGTTTGTTTGTTTCACGTCAAAGGCTATACATTTAGAACTTGTAACAGATCTGACAACTAACTGTTTTATTTTTTGTCTTAAAAGGTTTGCCGGAAGACGAGGACTCCCAGAAAAAATCTATTGCGACAATGCGACAAATTTTGTAGGTGCCGATCGCAAGCTGAGAGAGCTGATAGAGGCGTTTCGAGAGCACAAGGACGATCTGGCATACTATGCTGCACAAAGGGGCATAGAGTTTGTCTTCATACCACCCAGGGCACCTCATTTCGGAGGATTATGGGAAGCGGCGGTAAAGTCGGCAAAACACCACATACAACGAACAACCAACAGTGCGCTTCTTACCAGCGAAGAACTGCAAACAGTGCTCGTAGAGGTAGAAGCCCTGCTAAATTCTCGGCCACTCAGTCCATTGAGTCAAGACCCGAACGACAAAGAGGCGCTAACACCAGCACACCTGTTGATAGGAAGTACTCTCCACACGCTGCCGCAAGAATCCGCGCAAGGCGTCTCCGACAACAAATTGACCACTTTGAAACGTTGGCGTCTGTTATGCGAGCTCAAACGGAGGTTTTGGCAGGCCTGGTCGAAAGATTACATCCTACAGCTGCAGCCCAAGAACAAGTGGGTGTTCGAGCAGCCGAATCTCGCAGTCGGCCGACTAGTCGTCGTCCAAGAAGACAACCTTCCCTCTCACCAGTGGAAGCTCGGAAGGGTGGAAGCCGTAACTACAGGTCGCGACAATAAGGTCAGGGTCGTTGACGTCAATACCAGCAACGGGATTGTGAGACGTCCAGTACATAAATTGGCGGTGCTCCCGGAAAATTGAACACATAAGAGTGCTTCAACGCGGCCGGTGTTGAATGTTTTCATTTTTATATTGCATTTTTTGTTTAAAGTAGTTAAAATAAAACGCGTGCTGCTCATTTTTATTGTTAATATGCAACCCAATGTTGACTTTCGTCAACCTTGCACATTACATACGGTAATCTTAAAAAAACAACAACTTTAATTTTATACAGTTTTTTAGCTTCCAGACTGAACTGGGTTTTTTGATTCGCTCTCTTGCATTTCAAGTCCCAAGTGAACAGCACGCGTTTTATTTTCAATTTTCGATTTATTAAAATTTTAATTTCTTAAATAAAGTGTAATTATTCTGAATAAAATACTTTCGTTGTAACTTTCATTTTTTTATAACTTCAATAAATACAAAAACTCTTGTATTTTTTCAATTGTGTTGCAGTTTTTTTCAAATCTAAATCTTTTAACTCTATTTTTTATAAAGAGGTTTTTTCGAACAGTAGTAAAATACAACAACAAAAATTTTATTTTTTTATATTATTTTTTTATTATTTATAACAATAATAAGACACAAATACAGATGTATTTTACCGATTGATTCAGTTTTTAATATTTGAGAAAAATTTAATAACAAATAAAAACAGTTTTTTCTCAATCATTTATCTCTGCTTTTGAGATAATAGATACAAAATAATCATCCAATATAAGATTCTAGCTTATTATCTAACTGTTCATAGGACTGAGAAGAGTATAGAACGTAAATAGGCTATCAGAATTATGATATCATATTTCTCTTATCTTTAAACAATTATCCAAAATAAATCAATATATGAATATAATAATAAAAGAGTTGTGAGATCCAAGTTAACTTCTGTAGTTTTTATGCCTTATAGATAAGCTTTAATGCTAAATAAATGATTTTCTATTGATCAGTTAAATTTAATATCTTTTTACCTAAACTTAAATTTCAAAACAACAACTTTTTGTAATTCTTTATTAATGCTTTATTCAAAACAATAAAGAAAAAAATTGTTTTTTTTTATTAAGAATCTAGCTAATTACCTATGGCAACTTATATATTTATATAAGCTTCAAAAAATATTTATCCTAAACCGCTAACTTTAGCTGTTACATATGTTTGTGACAGATATATAGAGATTCTACTAATATAATTTGAATTTATATTATTATTCTATTAAATTTTAAAAATGTTTATATGGTCGTTTTTAAGAATCCTGGTAGTCATGAACGCAACTAAGAGAGGTAATGTGTGATCCCACATTATAGTGTTCGAAGAAGATATTTTTTAATGTATCTTCTTCGAACGCAATGCCATTCAACTGGTAGAGAGTTTGGCTAACTACCATCTTTTCCTTTAAAGCAAAAAATTACGTCAATGAAGTTTACTACTGTTCTGCACGCTGTTAATCACAATAATAATATTTGAGACGAGTTTCCTAGATTTTTAAGTTATAATGAGTTTATAAAAGTAATCCGATCAATCCTATCATTAGGTTTAAATTTTTTTCATAAATAATAAAATATTTAAAACCATCATTAAACCTTAGACCTTTATATATGATAAACAATCATCAATAAAACCTGGAACTTGAGTATTGAAAGTTTGTGCAGCCTTGGCTTCTTGTGGATAAACACGATTAGTCATCGCTTCTAATTTGACAGGCACCAGCTCTAAGCCTAGCACTTGCAGTCCAAACAAATTATATACGGACTATAAACTAATTAAATAAAAATTCGATTATTTCAAAGACCACTGATGAAGAGTACTTAGCAATACTCGAAACAGCGTTGTATGGTCAGCCAAATGAAGAGTAGCCCATATGGTAATAACTCAGGCCCAAATATGATGAATAATATTTGTTGATTTATATATCGTTTTTAAGCAATATATATTAAAATTCTATTAACTAACTCAAAATCAAGGATAACAATAAACAACAGGTGTTAATGTGACCCACAATGAGAAACAAGTCAAAAGGAATACGAAACATCGACAGTATTAATGCAAATTAAGACGTTAAAAAGAATACCGCTAAAAGAATAGCGCTATGTTTTAAGTTTTTATGTACTTAATGGTTCACATACACCCTTACATCTTAAAAATTAAGAACCCAAAACATCGAACTTTAAAAAAATCCGAAAAAAATTGCTTCTAACACATACTGCTATAAATGTTATTATTGACAAATTTAATCTTGTCATTGCTTATAATGATATAGATCAGTGGTTCCCACCCTTTTTTTGTCCAAGGACTACTATGATGTTTTTGTATTTAGTAGGGACGACATAGTTTAAGAACAATAAACTGTACTATTATTTTAATATGTTATATTCACCTCTGGTATGATGTATAATGAATTGTATAAGTTCATAGGTACATTAAATATATGCTATAAAATAGCTATAGGACCAGCTGTGATCCGCGAATCACCGGTTGCGAAGCACTGATATAAATAATCACACCACAAGAGGTTTTAATTGCGGTTTAAAAATTGGGCCGTGGATTCGAACACACATAATAACTATTCGAACTAAATGAATGTATTGAACAGATTTACTATTTCTTTACAAATTTTGTTTACACATTTTATAAAAAGAAATGAAACAATTTCTCGTTCTAATTTTAAAAGCGCGGCAAGTGCTTTGGTTAGTGTATAAAAAAGTGAATAAAAAAAGTGAGAAAAACCTTTTCAGATTAAATTTACATCAAATTATATATACTTAACAATATCATTTAACAATCATATTACGAAAAAACTACATTGATAGACTTGACCCGTCATCCCCAATTATACAATAATTTTGGAAACAAATCCTGAAAGCACGCAACTATATACCCTGTATTTACATTTAAAATAATGGGTACTCCGTTTTTAACAAAAAATGTGAAAGTAAACAGTGCGCAGATATGAAGCGGACAAAATTGAGTGAAATATTTATAAAAGAGCCTAATATCAGGAACACATAATCGTATGATGTGTTTTTCGTGCCCTTCGCTTTGAAAAACTCAATCAGGGCTCAATTAAAAATTAAGACCCTAAACAGAAGCAGGTGAAGTCTTGTGTTTTTGTACTAGAAAGAAATAATTAATTTTAGCAATCATTTAATTTTCTTAAAATATGCAGTTGAAAACCTATTCATCCAGCTGTCGGTATTGTCGGTATTGTCAATAATGAAATTGCACTTTTAAACAAAAACAAAAAAAACTGCTTTAAGAACTTAACTTATTAATAATTAGTTATTAATTTATGAATTAATGAAATTCATAAATTAATATTAAATTAATTATTTTTAAATAAATAGATAAAATATCAAACACAGCTTTCTGATACTACATATACATATATGTATATAAAAGGCATAAACATATGCTATATATAACAAAGAACATAAATTATTTTAAATGTAAGTGTTTTTCTGATAAACGACAGATCAATTTAAAAAGCAGACAAAAAATATAATGGAATAAGAGAATAAAATTTATTATTTATCATAATACATCATAACCAAGTAGATATGTAGATATGTGTATCTATATTTACGTAAGCGAAACAAACAATTTTTAAAATGTGGAAGATGTGTACATATAAGCATTAATCAAAACAATTCAATTAACTCAAATACCTATAAAAAATAAACTACTAAAGCGCTTTAAATTGCCAATTTAAATTTGTTATATGGAAGAGCGGCGTTGTTAATAGGTTCATAAACATATGACGGACACACAGTTCGTATTAAAATTGAACAACACTTTAAAGAGCGGATGGAATCAAGAAGGTCGCTTTATAGAGTACAATACAGCGTGCGAGTATCATTATCACATATCTTTTCTCTACATCACTTTCACATAACTATTCTTGACAAAAACAAACAAATAAAAAAAGCACGGACTGCGCATAATCAAAAATTTAAGGTTTAGGTTCACAAAATACCACAAACAATTTGAAACAGTTCGGTTAGTGTTGGCTCTGAGAGCAGTTATAGGAAAAGCTGTTAGCAGCAAGCAGTCAGTCAGCCAGTCAGTCAGTCGAAAAAGCATAATAATGCGTTATTTGTCAGTTCCAAAAATTTTAAGAGTTTCACGTGCGCTTCCAGGTAAAATTAATAAATAAAAAAGTCGAATGTTTTTTTACAATAAAAGTGCTATAATATTAATTAAAAAGGTTGTTCGAATGCAAAATATTTTGCCACTAATGTGGAGCCAAAAGAACCAGTCGTCAAGACTTCTATTCCCGGTCCCAAATCGCTACAACTAAAGAAAGAGTTGGCCGAACTACAAGTAAGTTTTTTCGTTTAAAATAAATTTGTTATCAACAAAAATTACCAACCGAACTTATTAATAAAAATGTGCGCAGCTTTTTTATGCTAATTTTTTCAAAAATAATTTTTTATTTTCCTAAATTTTGCGCGTGTTTATTTTTTTAATTGACAAAAGTTTTGTATTCAAAAAAAAAAAAAAATATGTAAAAAAACGGGGCTACGAAAACGGAAAATTTTGAAAATGATACAATACAATAATAATAATAACAACGAAATTATAAACATTTTACACGTAAATTATAATAAATTAATTAAATTCAACTTCAAGTAACATTCAATTAAAATCATCTTTAAGTAAATAACATAAATTCTGTAATAATAGATAATAATATAATAATAATATTTTTCTAACGTACAAAAAAAAATTTTTCTAACGTGTATCAAATTATTTTTTTAAACCGTCTTACGATGTTCTTTAATATTAGTTAATATATAATTTGCAGTAGTATATATATTAGTCTTAGCCAAGATGAGAGGGCGGTGGCTCCCGCTTTAGAAGTCTGTTATATTTCATAATGAAAAGAGCTACCATGAGATAATGCCGACCGTCCAAAAATGTTATGCACCCTATCCATATACACCAGTCTTTTACAGCAGGGCTGTTCAGACCAGATGCGATCGAGGGTTACTATCAATCAATGTACAGATTGGAGGGCCGCAAAAAGAAATGCATACGTTCATAGTTGTTTTCGACAAAAACAAAAACACGGTTATAATATTAAATTTAGTTTTATTAATTTATCAATTTAAATTAATTGATTTGGAATACCATAAAAATAAAATAATGTGATTTTACAGTACTTAAAAGAAAATTCGCGTAACTGTAACAGACTAGAAATATGTCGTGGGTTGCACACACATTAGCCTCAGGCCACATGTGGCAGCGTTGTTTTACAACAATAACAGATAATTCCCAGCGTCTTGACCCAGCGTTTAGATTAAAATCGTTTTTTATCCTTGACATTTTTCCCTTACATTTGGTCAGGTAGTTTTCTAAACCTATGGTGTGGTGATCATAGAGTGTATTCAATTTATATGCAGTTTAGATAGTATGAATCTGATATAAATCTTGATAATATGATTGATAATATATGATTTATATATATGAATATATATGATTTATTATATAACTGAGTGTGGTCTTTCCCCTGTAGTTGATATCATAAATTTGAATCGCTTATTGTTATCAGTATAAAAAAATGTTGTGTTTAATTTAATTCCAAATAAATTCGTATAAATATTGTTTAATATATTAACAAATTTGTGAAAATGTATTCTATATATACTTGTAGTTAGGCTCTTAAAAATAACTGTTAATCAAATGGAAAAAATTGAGTAGATAATACATTTTAACTGTTATAAATTATTATGCACTGGCACGTAGCCATGTAGTAGGCTGAACCCCTCTGAAATGAATCGTAGCACAACATTGATACATATGTACATTCAAGATAAAAAATTTTTTATTGATTTAAATAATCTGAAAGCCCCCCGGGCTTTCATTGTATAACTTCTATAGCAATTGTTTTTGAATAAAAACTGTTGATTAACAATATATACATATATATAAATATTTGTATATATGTATATATATAGTAATATAGTCATGCTTATCTGCATGATAAATTTTGCCAAAAATTCTTATCGCAGCAAAGTATTAAATTTATATCTAATTTTGAAAACATAATTTGTTAAATAAAAATGAAATAGAAAATCCCAAATTTAAATTAATAAAAATATTAGTGATCATAAAGACTATTTAAATTTTTTCTTATAATTGACAACACAACAAAATGCAATATTGAACAAGGACGAGCGAAAGCTTTAACCTCTTCAAGGTGTTAAATAATTTATTTATTTTTTGATAAAACATTGGTTTATTATTGTCATAGTCTAAAATCAAACAATTTAAAAATTGAATAACAAGTTCTATTATCTATCATTAATACTCCTTTATTATTTTTAATATTAGTTTTATAATCTATAATAAAGCCCGCAGGTCCCAAGGGGCTACAATAACAACAAAAACCCATATATAACAACAGGTATGCTGCCTAGTTTTAACGTCAAATAATAAATTTAAATATATAATTTATATAAAATTATAATATTATAAAATATATAATTTAATGAAATTCAATAAGCAGAGCTGGTTAAAAACCAATTAGATTTAAAACTAATCTAATAGATTTCATTTTGATAAAAGCTTGACCACTTCATCAGGATTAACTGCAATATTCACTTGAATTGATATTACAGCAAGCATACTTAGTCGATCATGGCCAATTACATTTTTTAATACAATTTTTATTATTCTTCTTGGCAGTAAATAAACTATCAACTTTAGCTGTTGTAATTGATAGAATAACCGAAATCGTAAGAAGAAAAATAAGTTCTTCAAAACCTAGTAACATATACACATCATATATCCACACAATAATTTTTACTCGGATTTCACTTTGCCAAAAACGTTTTAACATCGATGTTTTGTGTATATAAAGATCGACACTTAAATTCGGATAGAGCTTCAGCCCTCCAAACCTCTCCTTGACTACGTGCCTATCGATAAGTAAAAAGTAAATAATTGTTTTATTACAGGACTGTCTGTGTGTAGGGTATTAAAAATTCGATAAAGTCAAAGCCATAGTTTTTATTGTTTAATTTATTATTTTTAGTTTCGAAATAATTATATAATTTATTTATTAATTATGTAAATTTTTTTATTACTTGAATTTCTTTGAATACTTTTAAATAGAACCCTGGTTCTGTACAATTATTTGCTGACTATGAAAAATCAATTGGTAACTACTTATGCGATGTAGACGGAAATATGCTTCTCGATGTGTATGCACAGATTTCATCAGTTCCTTTGGGATATAACCATCCACGACTTTTAAATGTATTTAGAAATGAAGCTAATTTAAAATGTATGTAAAATTCATCTTCAATTATGTGTAGTTTTTGTTGTATGAAATTAATTAATTTTTGTGTAATAAATCACAGAAAACAAAAGAATTTCATAATTATTATGTTTATTTAAAATAATGTTTGTAATGCAACTTTATTAATTTCGTTAACAGCACTCATAAATCGTCCTGCACTAGGCGTGTTTCCCGGTAAGGATTGGCCTCAAAAACTTCATTCCATTTTAATGCAAGTTGCACCGAAAGGACTTAACAATTTAACTACAATGATGTGTGGCTCTTGTTCAAATGAAAATGCATACAAAAGCATATTCATGTGGTAAGTCATTTCACCCATCGCCTCATTTTTATAAGAAGATAAGATATCGATTAGCATTTTGCCGCATTATGACGCAATGCCATTCAACTGGTAGAGAGTTTGGCTAACTACCATCTTTTCCTTTAAAGCAAAAAATTACGTCAATGAAGTTTACTACTGTTCTGCACGCTGTTAATCACAATAATAATATTTGAGACGAGTTTCCTAGATTTTTAAGTTATAATGAGTTTATAAAAGTAATCCGATCAATCCTATCATTAGGTTTAAATTTTTTTCATAAATAATAAAATATTTAAAACCATCATTAAACCTTAGACCTTTATATATGATAAACAATCATCAATAAAACCTGGAACTTGAGCATTGAAAGTTTGTGCAGCCTTGGCTTCTTGTGGATAAACACGATTAGTCATCGCTTCTAATTTGACAGGCACGAGCTCTAAGCCTAGCACTTGCAGTCCAAACAAATTATATACGGACTATAAACTAATCAAATAAAATTCGATTATTTCCAAAGACCACTGATGAAGAGTACTTGGCAATACTCGAAACAGCGTTATATGGTCAGCCAAATTTCAATAAAAATTAAAATAAATTTTTGTGTTTATCCTTTATTTCTTTCTTTGCTATTCGAAATTCCTCTAATAAACAATCATCAGTAAAAACTTAATTTTTAATTAATCACATGTATTTTAGAAGTGAGAGATGAGAATATGTTCTAACAATACTCTAAAAGTAGACAATTGTAATTAGCTTTTAATTTTACATTTTTACGGAAATGATAATGAATTTTACTACCTTGCATCGCTAGTTGTCCATTATATTCAGCCATCATGAAAATAGGAGATCCAAATTTACCCATATTTCAATTTCATGAACAATGTTTTATAATGTATTATTAAAAAAAATGTATTCATTGTTAAACTTATATTTAATCGATTTAATTTTTTTAAAGTATATGTAATAACGAAGATAATCAACTATTATGTAGTGATTGGATTTCGATGTTTAAAAATATACACTGCTCTAAATGACCGTTAAAAAATTTCAGAAAATTTGCTGACCCTTTGGGCATTCACTTGAACACATTTAGCAAATACTACTTAAAAACATGGGTATCGCAAGAGTTCTCCTTCGTGAGGAGGAAGCAATTACAATCAAATCATTAGATTTGAAAATTTGAATTATGAAGGCAAAGAATGATTATTAGACGAGACTTGACTAAATACTTTATACTGACTGAATAGCATATTATGCAAAATTACTAGATAAATTGAACATTATAATTACCAATACAAATATCCATATTCGCATAAGACAAAAGCTTTCTTATACCAAGTGAATGGCATCAGTCCACATTTCGACAGTCGCCATATGCAATTACATGTCACCGTTCAACCAAAGTTATATTCTTTGACTAAACTGTATCACATAATTATATATATATATATATATATATATGTGTGTGTAGATATATACGTGAATATACGGATATATTTGTATTTGTAATATATTTAAACTCAGTTTTCCTTTTTTATATTTATTTTTAATTAATTAAATTAAATTTAATTAAAATTAAATAAAAAATTAAGAATTAAAATAAATATATAAAAAAGGAAAACTGAATTTAAATAGATTACAAATAAAATTATTTAATTCTAGTAAATATTTTCAATTGAATTTATATATTCTTAACATATTTTATTTATTTCAGGTATAGAAGAACACAAAGAGGAGAAAACATTGATTTTACAGAATTGGAAAAGGAATCATGCATGATAAATATGGCACCTGGAGCTCCTAAACTAAGTCTTTTATCTTTCAAAGGCGCTTTTCATGGCAGAACGTTAGGTGCATTAGCCACAACACATTCCAAATATATTCACAAAATTGATGTACCATCGTTTGACTGGCCAATTGCTTCGTTCCCTCAATACAAATATCCATTACATGAAAATGAAAGAGAAAATGCTGCAGAAGATAAACGTTGCTTAGCAGAAGTGGAAGACTTAATAAACGACTATAAACGTCGTGACATACCAGTTGCTGGTATAGTTGTTGAGCCCATTCAAAGTGAAGGTGGTGATAATGAAGGATCTCCAAATTTTTTTAGGCAATTGCAAGCAATTTGTAAAAAGAATAATATTGCACTTCTAATTGATGAAGTACAAACAGGTGGAGGTGCAACTGGAAAAATGTGGTGTCATGAACATTTCGATCTTGAACAAAGTCCTGATGTTGTCACATTCAGTAAAAAAATGCAATTGGGCGGATTTTTCCATAACCAATCCTTCCAACCAAAAGAATCATACAGAATTTTCAATACTTGGATGGGAGATCCAGGAAAAGTTTTGTTGCTTCAAGAAATACTAAATGTGATAAAAGAAGAAGATCTATTAAAACAAGTTAATATTTCTGGAAATATTTTGAAAAAAGGTTTAATAGACTTGGAAAATGAATACTCTCACTTATTAAACTCTACCAGAGGTCGTGGTACATTTTTGGCTGTCAATTGCAGCAGTCCCAAAGCTCGAGACGAACTAATAAACAAGTTAAAGGAAAATGGTCTACAAGCTGGAGGATGTGGTGACTTAGCAATACGTTTTAGGCCCGCTCTCACATTTAAGGAACATCACGCACAAATTGTATTAGATCGCTTCAGAAAATCCCTGAAGCAAATGTAAAAAAAATATGTATTAATAATTTGTTAATAAAATGTGCTCTGATAATAACATGTTATTATTTGTAGTTTTTCAAAATTAATCTTATCTAAAACCAAAAAATTTATATTGAGCACTTAAAATCTTATATTATTCGAGCAATAACGGAATTTTTTAAATCCTTATCAATAATTATTGTTACTAATTAACAGTACTTGTTTCGATGTTCCGCGGTACTTATAAATCAAATGCATTCGTTTCTTTTAGATTTTCTATAAGAGCCTTAAAGTAAAAAAAAAACAAAATTTGATATACTGAACATTTTATTTACGAAACTAAACAAATTAATTGATATAATAATTAATTTGAAATATTTTTCGATTATGTGTTGTTTAGAGTTAGGTGTACTTTGGTATTAATGTGAGGACCATAATCTGATGTTTCGTATTTATTTATAATTTGTTTTTTTTATAAAATTTAACGATCAAATGATCGTCGATCATCCTATCTGCAAGCAACAACAAATATGATGATAGATGATCATTTGATTGTCTGCATACCACGGCACTATAGTGCTCTAGTGTGTTATATTCTCCTCTCCTTTACTTCTCTCTTTAGTTCTCCCCCCTTCTCATCCGATCCCCTCCACTTGCTCTTCTCGTCTTTTTTTAAAAGTTTTTCATAAATAATATTTGTTTGTGAAAACATTGCACAAATTGAACACTATACACAAGTTGGGTTAATTATAAACTATGGGTATTTAAAAAACCCATTAAACTTTTAACAATATAGACCTTCTGTAAACACAGAAGGGCTATATTGTGTTTTACCAATAGACAATTAATATTTTTTTTAATATTGTTTTCATTAATGTTCATTAAAAGTTTAGTTAGAATTGGGTGGAACCCTTCCAAACGAGGGGTACTAAACGAGGTTTTAGACACGGTGACTACATGTCGTATAATTTCATCAACCTAATGTTGGAAACTACAATCCGAGCAGCAGATTTAATTCGTACTGGTACAATATTTCACAAAAATGTAATGCTCTTTGCGTATGCCGACGATATTGATAATATTGGTTTGAACATCGCAGATATAATTAACGCCTTCAGTGCAACTTTTTTACTTAAAAAAACAAGCGCAGCACTTGAGTCTTGTTCTTACCCCATTTAGAAGCAGTACAGTAGTAAACTTCAAGTACAGATGTTAGCTCTGACTTTACCGAAGGGTATATACCTCTTGTATAGAATTTGGATCTATATTGACGTCTCATTTATATGAAAATATATACATATAAATATACATATGTATATTTTAAAAAAGAAAAAAATGTTTAAATAGTTTATATGGCCGATAGCTATATCATCTGAATTGACATGCATTAAATTTTTATATTCTATGATATAAACACAAGTCCATTTTGTATTAAATTTTGTTTGCGTATCTTTATTGAAAATGGAGAAAACTAATAACCAATTACTTATTTTATATGGAATGGACAGAATTTAGCGCTTCATTGAACAATGAACAAGGTTCAATCCCAAAAAGTATGTATGCAAATATTCATAACTTAAAAACTCGAAATTATGTTTGAGAAATAATAAACAGACAGGGCTAAATGAACTCAGCTTGTCGAGCTGATAAAGGATATATATACAAAAAACTTAACAAACCTAATTTACCATTTTCACACTATTTTCTGTAAAATTATTTTTGTTTATATCAAACAACAAATATGCCGAGCATCTTAGAACCCATGTCACTGGTAACAACTATAAGTTTGAAGTTGTGAAAAACTTTGTTTATTTGGGAACTAGCGTAAATACTAATAATGAAATAAATCTAAAGGCTTAACGAAAAATTACTATTGCCAATAGATGTTATTTCCAGCTAAATATTTTGATGAGAAAGCTTTAGAAGCATTCGCGGTGGTAGTGAGTATCGAATTAGATGAGCCGATGAGCTGTTTGAGCTATGCCGTTAAAATAGTTAAATGCATAAAAATTCAATGGTTTGGCTGTCTTGATCATGTCGGGCGTGTGGATAAAAACGCTGTAACTGGAACGGTGTTTGATTATGTATCAAACATGATTGTGTACTAATGGATAACTCGGTAGATGTCATCCGCATCTTCGGTTGAAGACATTCGATACTATCAACTAGCGACTGCAAGTAATTAATCGGACTAGATGAAGGAGGCTACTGGACGCAGTCAATGACAATTCCCAACTGTAATAGCCAACTAAGTAAGTAAAGAAGTATTTAAAAACAATAACTGAAACAAATCATTTTAGTCCATAGTCAATAACAATAACTTTCTGCCTTGTGTAAAACTACTTAGATACGGCGAATAGTAGGCAAATAGTATACCTAATATGATATATGTATATAACTTTTTAATTCTCTCTGTTTTTCAGTAGTTCTTTAATTTTGCCTACCTTATGTATACTTCCCACACTTTCAAGTTTTAAGCAGGGATTCTTCTGAATATAGTCATGCTTATTATCTCCTAAATTCTTATTAAATATCCGCAGTTAATAATAATTGCCTTCTTTGTGTTGTGTGGTTTGCCTGGTTGCAGTATGCCTGGTAATCTTATTATTACATTTTGTCACTAATAGAATGGCGTTATACTAAGACTATCAGAATTGTTATACTCAATTTTTTAATTAATATAGTAATAGAATTAACCTTATAATCAAAAACACTAATCAGTATAGGATTTCTTTACAAATATAATCAACAGAAACGGAAGGCATTTCTAAACCTTTCAAACACGTCAACTGATCAAGTGTCTTCTTGAACCTACTACTAATTATTGTGTCCTTTTGTCATAATAATTAGTAGTGGAATGCCTCTAAACGTAAACTTATATATTTATTATAAAACATGTTTTATTTTCTTCCATACAAATAATAAAGTGTTAATATATTTTCGGTGTAGCGAATTATCTCATCAGTAGCGTCACAATGTTCTGTGGCGAAATCATATATTTAATTAATTTGATTGTTTTTATATTTAACTAAATGTATACTGAGAGATTATTCAAAATTTAGAAACCACTCATAATAACCAGATAAAAAATTTATTTAACTCCAAATCGAAATCGAAGTATTCAAAGTCCAGAAGTATAAATGCATTTGGATGGACCATTTGGATAAAAGTGATGTTAATCTGTATGGAATAATATGTAAAAATAAGACAATTATGTATGACAAGTATAATACAATACTTAGTGACTTAATGATTGTACACGCATTTTTTAGTCAATTTCTATCACTTGTTGGCAATGTGTGCATTCTAAATAGATCATTGAAAAGTAGGTCTGCGTAAAACAATCACAGCACAGGTATCATATTTAATAAGTTTTATACTTATATTCAAACCAAAAACTGCTTGAATTTAAATGTAGGGTAAAACAAAACAAAAAAATATTTGTTTTTACAAGTCATATATACATATATATATATATAATGTATATATAAATAAAATATAAATCTATTTATGCTTCGCCAAAATTTAAAAACAACATCTGTCTGTTTCCGAAATGACTACCTATATATTTATACATAAATAATTCGATAAGAATTGTTAATATAAATATTAAATATAACGTAATTATAACTATTATAACTATTATAGGATGACAGTATGATTAGGGCTTAAGACATATAATATCATAACTAGTATCATAATTGTGAGCATAAACTTCGATTAAGCCAATAATGAACAAACTATTTTACTAAAATTTATAAATGTGATATAAAGAGGTATATATAAAGAGGTTTTTTCGAACAGTAGTGAATTATAACAATAAAAATTTATAACAAAAATTATCTTGACGAATATGCAAGGGCTTAAAAGAAATTAAAATGATATTAAAATGTGATTTAAGAAAAAGTATTTTCTTGCTAGTCCATATAAATTAGAAGAGTAAGCAAGTATAAGCAAAAATATAAGAATATAAGCGCAAATATGATAACATATATGGTAAATTCTTTAATTGTTATTTATATAATTTGTTTAATTAATTAAAATTAATTAAGTATAATTACTTAATTTTTACGTATATTATACATTACATAATTAAATATATCAGATAAGAAGTACTTAGCGTTGCCGGACCACTTAGATTATTTCAAACAGTCATGTCGGAAAGAAATAATCCTACGCTGTGCTACACCTTATGGCTATTGAACAATCCGTTTACTTAATATAATCATAAAAATAAAAGTTGTGATTAATAAAAGTGTTTTATGTGCGTAGACGAGTATGCATTCGGCTACACACACTCATGTATGTATGTATGAGATTGTGTGCAAAAGCTATTTTTGAAATATTCAGTTGCAGAACAAGAAGAGATGTTTCCTACGGAATTTAGTTTGTGACTGCTAATAGAACTATAGTGATCTTTAAAAAGTTTAAGTAAGTTATTTATTTTAATTAATTAATGCTATTTCAGAAATTCTAAATTCTAAATAAAGTGTTAAGTGTTAAAGAAGCATCTTTAAATACTCTTATTTATGTCAAATTTAGGAACCTTTTTTAAGCTTGCGATCAAAAAAATATATTTGTAAATATTTAAATATTTAAAAAGTATTTAAAAACAAGAAGTACAATATTATCAAAATTATGTAAATGAAATTTATATATTAATTAAACAAAATAATTTATAAATCATTCCGTAGTTTATTTTAATAAAAAATGTGCCCTGTTATGGTACAATTGTCCCAATTGTCAAATTTTATCTCTAAGTATTTACGCATAAAATCTTACTTCCATAGACATAGTTCATTATGCCATAAACTACAATTATTACTGTTGTATATGTTATATTACATTTTTAAAATACTTCATAATACCATAAAAAATAAAAATATTGTTTGCAAAATGCAACGAATGACAATCTTTATAAAAAAAATGTGATTATTCATAACATTTTCAATTATTTATTCAGTCCAACGCTCGACTAATGAAGATTTTACGCAATATCTTAAAATAATTTTGTGTATATCGAATAATTTATAAAATTAATTTAAATAAATTAATAAGTGATATAAATGATTAATGCATAATATGATGGTATACAATATACAAACGTTATTATAGACACTAAATGTGATTATAAAAAAAATGACATGCATATTGTACATAGAAACTTGTATTATTATTACTAATAGCAATGCATAGTTACATTTGTAAGGCCAGGCTAAACGTACTCTTCATAGATTTCTAGTAAGTTTTTGATAGCAATAACAGGAAAAAATCGAGTATGCTTATGAATACAGGGTATGTCTTACAAGGTATTTACAGAACTTGTAAGTCTAACATTAACAGCCATTTAATCTCAAAACAGTAACGCAAAGGGCCAAGAGACCCAAATGAATCCATGGAATAATCGTTATAATTTAATATAAAGTGAAGATAGACTTAAAACAAGGAGAACTACTAAAAAAAATTTACTCTTCAAGCAGATAACCAAAGTAAAGATATAAGTGCGGTAGCGAGAAATCAGGATCCTACTTGCTGATATAATCAACATATTATCTATATGTATAATTTAAATATGGGAAACGAAAATACTATGATTTTTTGGCACAATATTAGAGAAGGACATGTCTTATCTAATACGATATAATTAAAAATAAGAAATTAAAGTCACAGTGGAAGTATTAGAGAGAGACAAATTTTATCAAATATGATAAAACAAAGATGTAGAGAACGTAATTCACAGACCAAATATTTTTAATTATGACGTCACATTGTGCTAGATAGTAAAGGAACAGATAATAGAGGCACTAATGATTAAAAATAGTGGAGAAAATTACAGCTATGTCGCTATAGAGAAGAAACTAGACTGTAATGATATGAATAATAATAATAGTAATGTGAATAATATATGTATGTGTTATATGCATTATTTTAATGTTTATACATATAGAACCAATTGCAAATCAAGATAACATATTTGAGAATATGACAGAAATCAATAACAAAAAATATTATATATATATATATATATATATATATATATATAATCCGTGGTATCCATTTTTATATCAATTGACTTTAACTCTATTTAAGTTTCGCTATTACTAAGGCGTATAACATAGCATATTCGCTCGTATACGCCACTATTTAGCAGTATGAGTACTATTTTTGTTCAAGTTGTTAATCCATCGCAGATAGAATCAAGGTAAAATTTGTTTATGTTAAGTATTCATATACACAAAAATTATTTTTGTGATGTGTATGATCAGCATTTTATTTTTAGTTTAGCATCTATTTGAAATGTAATACAAAACTATACTCGTATTGTAGATTTTATATTTAATTATTCTCACTAAGATTCACAGCAAATTAACTAAAAATTTTGTAAAAAGTACAAAAAAATTATTATTACACGCAAGGCTATCAAGTAAAAGTGTAAATTTCAGATGTTTGGTATGTTATGTTTCTCACAACATTATGAGAATCAAATATTGAAATTAAACTATTATGGCTAACAAATTAGAAGAAGGAAGTTTATCAACTCAGATATCAGATATCGTGTGCGATTGTCATCTAACTAACCAATACGACACTGTTGTTATATTAAGCATATAAATACATACTGTCTACTGAAACATACCATATATAATTAAACGCGTAAACAGTCATAATTACCATGTTAAAAATATTCTTACACAGGTAACCCTTGGTAGATCAAACGAATATTTGCAGAAGAGTTTGTAACTCCACACAAACTTTAACATAATATTATAATAATTATGTTAAGGCTAGTTGAGCTAGTGCACTTGAACACTTTTGCTCTCTATTAACTGCGAGGTTTCTTCATAACTCCTCTCTACACCTTGACTGGATTATTGTTTATCACTTCATCAAACTAACAATAACTGACCTCAGCTCTGCATACCTCCCCGATGAACCTGTAACTATTCTGAGATTCGATAACGCGGTGTTGGTGAGCCTCTCAGTTTTCGTAAATAATTCCAGGGCTCTATCTTTTATGTATTTTTTGATCGGACACATCCCTGAGGATGTCTGTTAGAATTAAAATTAATTTAACCGCTAGTTGAGGGAAAGAAAGTATACTAAAAGAAAACTTTGTGACGTTGCTGAATTTATAACATGTTAACGAGTCACATATTTATATTCATAACATCACTTCTAAGTATTGAGGATTGTAATTGTAAAATTAGAAATAATATTAGAAATAATATTATTGATTTTTGACTTGAAATCTGTAAATTGTTATTGGAAAATCGAACAAAGGTGGACTTTTTGGATGCATACTGAAAAAAAAACTATGAATGCAAATTTCGTTTTTCAACATTTTTGTTTGTATCTCTCATAACACATGTCCGATGAAGTTTAAAATCAAAGTGGTTTAAGGCACTTTCTATCGTTGCCATAAAATTTTTGTTTCGCTTCTTATGGCTGCCGAAGATACTTTAGGCAATTGATTTGTGTTATATTCTTTTATTCATATTACTTCAGCTTGAATTTGGGTTCTTGGCAATTAAACAATACAAGTATGATTTAAGCTCATTTAAAAAATTAAAGGAATGATAATAAAATAGCTAACTAATAAATAAATAATCATAAATAATTAATAATAATCATAATAATAAACTAATAAATAAATATTGGAAAGACCCAATAATCACTCTGTTTACAATAAAATCGAAAGCAATACAGTAGTTCCATATGTACTTTTTACTTAATTTAAACTATTATTCAAAAGTTAAGTTTCATATTCTTCCTTAGGTGTTTGGATTTGAGTTCGAATATTTATCGACAACACATATAAGCATATTATTTTTTATATGTAAATGTCTATATTTTAAGAATCTATTATTTTATTCATAGTCAGTTATTAGTTAACATAATTTAAATACATATTAACAAATTAAAGCAAAAACTCCCTCATTAAACCTTTTATGCAATATATAAAATATTATTAAAAAAAGAGAGTGCAAAATGAAAATTCAACTTGTATATAGGTGAAAATATATCAAAGTTCATGTACTCTAAATTTTAAGTAATAACGTATAACATATAAATTTTATATTAAAATTAAAAACAAAGTTATGCTACATTTGATATTATTCCCAGATCAGGCATGGCGTCCAGATCAGGCTATCGACCACGTAGGACTCGCATATACGGAGCCAACTATGATATTGGAGAGAGCTATTACAAAAAACAACTAGATAATTTAGACAATAAAAAAGGAACTGGAAGGTATATGGAAATATATAATAAGAATTAAAATCAATAATACATATTTCTTATAATTATTGAATATAATTTTATTTATATAATTAAGATTCAGTGATACACCATTTCATTTGGATATGAATACAAAAGAAGACAGATATAGTCCAAAAGTGTCATTTTTAAATGAAAACAACGAAGACGATCTATTCAAATATACACCTAAAAATGATTTTAAAAATAAATCTTATTTGGTTGATGATTCAGGTTTTTTTATTTACTTCTACTTATGTTATTATATAACAATAACTGTAACTCCATCTTAGATGATGAATATACTTTACCCAAAATTAAATCAATAAAGCCGAAGTTGGATAGCACTTTTGACGATGATTTTTTTGGAGAAAATATTAAAACCAATTTTCTAAAAAAGCACGATTTTCAGGCTAAGGAAAGAACGCCGTTAGCAAATGATTTCAATAATGAAGTAAGTGTTGTATTATAAACATAAAACAATAACTATTTTTAAACAAATATACATACACAATATATGTTTTTTATTGATTATTTTTTAAAATATTATGTTTCACATTTTTTTATTAATGTTTTTTTAAAGATTCAAAGCGGATTTACTTCAAGACGCATAAAAATTCGAAGTGAGAACGTTTTGCTTGACGACAAGGATGCTTCCTTTGAAGCTGTATCTAGGGCAAAAGCTTCAAAGGCCCGCTTGGCTGATTTGGAGTCAGAAATGTTAAGCATAACAGAGAAACAAAACGAAAGAGAGAAAAGAAAACATGGATTAAGGAAACTTCTCGGTGAAAGTGAATCGGACACTCTTAATTCCTTAAAAAAATTAACACTTTAAAGTAAGCTACTAAATTAAATGTTGTTAAAATTAAACTATCTGTAAAAAATAAATATTTTAAAATGTAAAATAAAGTTATATTCTCTTTTTTAACAAACAATCTGTTTTTAATATTGGTTTAAGTTATTTTAAGGCCATTGAAAAATGTCATATATATCAAAAATTTGATATTAAAATTTTAGAATTAGCAATTATTCAACACCTTCTTTTTTATTATTTATTTATTATTATTTTTTTTTGAAGTTGCTTTATTTTATTTAGTGAACTTTAAGCAACACTTATGAATTATTATAAATTTTTGAGATCATCTACTAATGACAGATAGTACTAATATGTATATATGTTCTATTTCTAATTAAAAAAAAAATTTTTAACATATGTGTGTGTGTGCTACTAAAAAAGATTCTGTCTGCTAAATGTTTAATATGTTAATGAATATTTTGAAAATAATTATTAAAATAGTCATGTGTTTACACCATCACAATTAACTGACCTAAAGTGCAGTAAATCAATCATTTGTATTGATTTATATCAAAATCCACATGCATAAATGTTTAATGACCTGCTACTAATGAGGTTTGATTATTATAAGTGTACATAGTATTTGCACAAAATTCTTTAAATAATTTAGTTTCAAAGATATTTAAATTGATTACATGTTAAATTAAATAAATTTCTAAAGCTACATTTAATTTTGTTATTATGTATGCAATGATAGAAAAATAAGAAAAAAAAAAATTATCCATTAAAACAAGTTTCCATTTATTAAATTAATTATTCATCCCCTTATAATTAAATTGTACTAAAATTTACTGTAATTTCTCGATATGAAAATGAAATAAAAAAAGTTAAAGAACACTTGCATATTTTTGATTTATATATGCTTTGGTGTGGTAATTGTAAGCCCGAATGGAAGCAGCTAGGGTCTGTATAAGATGCTTTTCTCTCTTATTTGATGTTGCATAAGAATCATAGTCCCTTCCGCTGCGGAAAAAATTGAAAATTAGATAATAATATTATATCTTATTAAAAATATATGATAATGATAAATTAAAATATGGTATAAATATATTTCTTAAACAATTGTTTTCAAAACGTGTATAAGTATATTTATATACAATATTACCTGCAAGTATTTGTACGAAGAACACGTTCTGCCCATGTTTGTGGTCTAGGTATTTCTCTAGTTACACCCACTTGCTTTTTATCCAAGTAGTCGATAACGTCGTCATAATAGTTGGTCCGATAATTGTACATATATTTATATTGAAGAAATTTAGGTCTAGAATAATTTTAAATAAATTCCACTGCTTTTGAAGTTTAGAAAATAGAATTGTAATAAACTTACCTTACCCAGTGCCGATATAATTGCACTGGTTTTCTATAGCCGTCATCCTCCGGTGGAGGAGGTGGTGCAGCTGCTGTTTCTTCTGGTTCACCACTTGGTTCAGCAGCTTGTTCTCCAGTTTCCGCTTGTTCACCACTTACAGCTGTAGCACTTTGAGCAGCAGGCTGTTCTGCACTTGGTGCAGCAGGTTCAGCAGCTGCAGTCTGAGCACTATCATCAAACCCCCATGGATCCTCCTCGTCAGCCATTATGGAAATTTACTTTGTGAACATTTATAAAATTAATGAATTTAAATTTGTTAAAATCTCTTGTATGTGCAATAGGTATAAGTTCATCAATAATATAAAATGAATTGCATCATTGATAAACTTATATAGATAAACTTATATCTAGATCAAGGGCTTTGATATGTAATTGTTTTTAATTATGTAATTATGTATACTCTCTATATTTAAAGATACAATTTTATCAAAAGCTTTCTAAGGTTACATTTTATCAATAAAATCCAATCAAATATTAAATTATATTAAAATAGAAATTTTATAATATTACTAAATTTAACGATTTTGCTTCGCAATATTTTAAAATTAAAAATATTTTCACAAAAAATATACATTAAAATAATATCGGGTACACTTCATCAGCAGTGAAATATTATAAAACAATACGCACTCTACTTAAATAAACAAATTATACCTTTAATTATTGACTATCGATGAAAATTCTACGAGTATATAAAAAAGACTGATTTTAAAAGTTTTGTTTTTCTGATTCGAAACTTAATAGTAATGCATTAAAAAATTTTGGTACCAATACTCAAACAAGCCTCCTTCAATAAACACAACACTTGTAACCTTAAAAGACAATTTAAAAATAAATTATATTCATTTACTTAGGTTATAATTAACACCTATTATTTTAAAAAAATTTGGCAATTACAATAAATTGGCATTAATTATGTTATATTATTATTATTTTTATAACTCATATATTATATATAGAAGTTTTCAATACATACATAATTATTTTATTTGTAAAATAAAATATTTTATTTTAATGCTGCTTTATAGCATTTATATTTATTATAAAATCTGGTATTAGAAATTTTATTATATATTAGGAAGTTAGATTATTATTACACATGTTTATACTTTTTTATTACATCTTATACTCATTTATATATACATATATATGAACGTTTATGGTTTTTTATGTTTTTCAAAGCTTACAAAAACAATTGACACATATATTAATATGAAAAATTAACGTTTAATTTTTTAACATTATTTCATGGACTCATATTTATACTCTTTTATTACTCTTTTCAATATACATATATATATATGTATATATATATATATATGGATGTTGCAAAATTTTATTGATTTATACTTTAGGGAGGATTATTTTAATCATAATGTTTCAATGAAAACAAAATAAGGTTTAATAAGCTTGATATAGTTAATCAATAGATGATCATTCTGGAAATAGAATAGTGATACAGCATGTCGATATTGATCTAGTTCTAGTTCAATATTGATCGATCGCGTTGTGATATTGTTTTAGAATAGAACTGAATTAAAACTGACAAAAGTTAATGTGTTAACTAAACCTAAAACTCTTAGAGTAGAAGAACGGTTCAAGTTATTAATTTAAAGGTATTTAATCATACTCCTAAGATATATGCATATGCACATAAATTGTTGTATTGATATCGATAAGTATGTGCTGTTAAACAGAATTTTTATTTAAAAACGCGAAAATTGAAAAGAAATTATTCGAAATGGTTTCGAAAAAATTCGCAGTTTCTTCGAAGTCTACTTAAAACTAGAAGTAGTTTATTAAGATTGGTAAATGGCAAATGTGATCTACACGGCACAATTGTGTAAAGTTCGCCAAAAAAGGCACCCTGTGCTTTTTTGCGCTTTCCGAACTTTTTACACATTTGCTATTTAATGTGTGAATAAACAATTTCATAAAAAATATTGCGCGACTGTGTTTTGTCTGTTTCCAACGGTTCGCAATAACCTTTCTTGAGTGTTGACGCTTGTGAATTTTATTAAAACAAATATTTGTCTTAGTACAAATGACACATTTCTTAAAATCATTTTAAGAAATGTTTTATTTGTAGCGCATAACGCATAACGGCATAATTAGATAATTGTTTAAATAATTTTCATGATTACTTTAAATCTTTCAAATAAATAGTGTGCGACCCGGGTTTTTATAAGTTATTATTTATTCGCAATTTCGGAATTTAATATTGATTTTTCCTATTCCGTTACTACATGTGTGATTAGACTAGAGTGATCAAACTAATATATTAGGTGTATGAAAATGCAACATGAAAACAAATATTAACGCTTTTGAAATAAAATTAACTATTGCAAAAAGCTCTTAGCATTTACAAAATCGTTTGGTAAGTACACAAACAATGCCAACAATATCGTCATCTTATTTATATTTGCATACACATATGTACGCACGTATTTTGTTGGTAGTTTCATTTCACCTATAAAACGTTTGGTGTAATGAAATTTGCATGCAAAAACTAAAAATAAAATTCTGCAACAAATTTGTGTCATTACAGTTAATAACGCAAACCAAAGAAACAAACAACAAAAAATATATTGACTCCAATTAAAAACGTAATTTATTTATTAATTCTTTATATATATATATATATGTGTGTGTATTTATATGTATATATTTATATTATATTTGGTAAATATGTGCTTTGAGAAACATTTCCCGCTATTCACCACAGTTACATATTAGGATTATAGCAATATAACAACAATAATAAATGGAATTGGTTGCACATAATAATTAACCGCCAAATTTAAAGAAACTGTACGCAATAAACATGTAAATGTTTATTTCTTTCTGGTATGGTATATACGTACGTATATATGAGAACTATAATAAAATTGCTTCGAACTGTATGTTTAATAAAAATACAAATTGAAAGTTTATATGTACCGGTTTATAATTATTTGAAAATAAAAAAGAATATATGTACATACATATGTAAGTGAAATAAAATTTGGAATGTTACGTTCATTTTTTTAAAGAGTTTGTTGCGAGAAATTACAGTATACTGTTAGACCAACAAATTACAAGTAAGTTTTAGAAAATATACATACTTCACCAAATGACATGTTTTTTTATTATTCCAATAATTTCCAAAGAATTTAAATAATCTTGCTATATCATAATTTCTTTTGCCGAAAAAACAGTAGCATACATACTTTTTAAAGAGTAAGTTCTATTGGGTTCTCTGATTAATGCCACAGAGATCTCAAATGATATATGACAGATTTAATGCAACAAACTAGCGCACCTGCTTAAAAATTATTAGCATTTATTAAACATTGCACTTAGTCTATTGTGGCCACTTTCATTTCCTGATAGATTATTTATTTTTCGTGACAGAAAATGATCTGTTACTCATACAGCCAAAAGCCTACGAAGGTATTTCATAGCCTTAAAAACAAATTCCATTACTATACTTTAACTTTTTTAAAGTCTTGATAGATGGAACAATCTTCTACACTGTTCTTTATTCCCGGTTTTTACTGCAGAAACGACATTTAATTATCAATAATTCAAGTTCAGGGTTTAATTTGTCCTCCTATAAGACGAATTAAAAAACTTTATTGAAATCATTTCAGATACTTGGTACTTGATGATTAAAAACTTATTATACAGTAATCCGATAAAGAAGTTCTGGTTCTCCAGTTTATGAACAGACATTTAACAGATAGATATAAAGTTAATTATTCTTAAAAGTGAAAAAGTGTCTCATTGTTTGAACTCTGATTTTTCATCACATTCATTATATAACTATTTTATTTACAAAAATTTAATTGTCTTAGTTTTATTAAGAGCGTAATGGACAAATCGGTTTCGTTCTAAACATTTTAGTATATTGTACTGACGTGCATATATGTATATATAAATAAATTATATATATGTATATATATATTTTTAAAAATAGCTCAAAAAGTTATTTAAAAAATTATATAGAATGTGTAATATTTTGACATGACAATTCATATCATTTTTAGTCTTAATAATTATTATATTTATATTATTTCATCAAATATTAATAATTTGTAATTTTTAATCAACAGCGTATATCTGACTTTAAAATCAAAATTTAACAACTATTAGTAGCCAAATTAAATCTTCTAATCTTTTAAGAAAGAATTCTTCATGACTTCAATATATGTAATCACTAAATATTTTGAAATATTTTTAAAATAAAATGTAAAACTATTTTTCAAGTAAATTGCATTAAGTTGTCTTATTTAGTAATGCACTTTTATTAGAAGCTTAGTAATTCAAGTATTTAATTCACATGTCATCTTACAGTGCCAAAGTGCAATTTTGTTAAAAATATATGTATAGATTAAATACATATATTCTAGTGTAAATAAAATGGATGTAAATCCTACGTACATGAAGGACTTGTGCAAGATTCGAGCTTTAGTTATTACCGTAACTCGTTAAATGGTTTAGAGATTTTTTAATAAACGCACTCATATCAGCCTATGTGTTTTACGCTTCAAAGATTTGACGGCAGATCTAGATATGTTAAGTTCGATCAATTTCACTCATACCATTTACGCGATTATTAGATAGGGTTATTAGATTAGCATATATCGATCAAAAAATATAAACTTTTACTTGCAAGTGCTTATAATTTTTGTAACAATATTTCCTTAATTACATACTAGGTTTCGCTAATATATATTTTAAATAAAACACACGTCACTATCGCGTGTCCAGCTATTTCTAGATGTGCATTATTGTTTCCAATTGTTCCTTTTGACTTAATTTTGTTTGTGTTTAGTTAACAGCAAAGATTTTGAAAGTTTTCAATATTAGAATATATTTAATGTTAATTATTTTTTGCCCAGATTGACGCAACTATGACGAAAAGAAAGTATTTAAAAGTTAGACGAATTCGAATAGCCAAGAGAAGATAAGAACAAAAATTTTATTTCATTTATTGAAATTTGGCTGACCAAACAACGCTGTTTCAAGTATTGCCAAGTACTTATCGTCAGTGGTCGTAGGAAATATTCGAATTTCTTAATTAGTTTATACAGACTAGTATATAATTTGTTTGGACTGCAAGTGCTAGGCTTAGAACTCGTGCTTGTCAAATTAAAAGCGATGACTAATCATGTTTTTCCAGAAGTAGCTAATACTGCACAAACATTCAATGCTCAAGTTCTAGGTTTTTTGTCACTTTTTATTTAATTAGTGACACTAACCAAACCACTCTACTGGTTGTGTCTCTATACGTATTGAATACAATGGCATTACCTGCAAAAGCTAAATCGCTTTTTCTGATATTCTTTAATTGTTAGCCTTTTTTAATTGTAGATACGGTTTCAATACATTCATTAGTTTCTTAGTTACTCTTCTACATAACATTTATTTTTGAAATGTTAACTCTATTTTATTAAAATATGCGTATAGGAAAGGAAATGCAAATTAAATGCTATAAAAAATTCTAAAAATTGAATTGTAAATGTATAATTTTTTAGTAAACAGCAAATTAGGGTTTAGTTTATTAATTTTAATTTAGTTGACTAATACCAAAAAAATTTTGATACATATGTACATATGTATTTGCCAAATTTAAAATAGTTTTGTTCCATATAACTTCCAAATTATGGATTTTGGGGATTTCAATTTGTTCGCATCCAAAATATTTGGTATTTATATTTTATAATGCATTCAGCTTAAGCAAGCGCAATGGTAACTCTATTTTTACTTTAAACACATCCTCTGAGAATAACTCGTGGCACCTGCAAGTATAACGAAACTGGAGAAATAAAACCCATCCTTGTAGAGTACATTGAAGAGTTTCTGCGCATGTTTGCTATCGAGTATTGAATTTGTCCTTTAGCACGGTTAGCAATTAAAATTTATCATACAGTAAACCAGCAAACGAAAATATATAAATTTTAAAATATAAGCTATATCATAATTTGAGCTTATTTATAGTACTGTTTTTCTAAACATTAACAAGGAGACGAGCGGAGCTTAAAAAGCAAATAATGATATTAATAACTTCAAATTTTTAATGAACTAACGTTTTACTCGTATGATTTATTGATTTTGAATGCTTGTATTTTGTGCAACATGAGAAGTCACTAAGTTTTTTGTTAATACCGTAACCGAAAAGTTCTGATTGTTTAAAATATTTTACACCAAGTGAATAAATATAAGTAATATTTACAAAGTAATAACAAAAGCTGCTGCTTGTTATAATTTGACAAAATATATCATTAAATATTAATTAGCTAAATATGGGGTGTTTAAGTAGTAAAGACCGCCTCACAAAAGAAGACATGGAGTTTTTAAAAACTCATACTCGATATGATGAAGCTACCATAAAGGAATGGTACAAGGGATTTAAGGTAATTATGGATTTTTTAATTCAGTTTTTTTGTAACATATAATATTGCAACATTTTCTTGTACTTCTTAACAGCAAGACTGTCCTAATGGAAGATTAACACCAGCAAAGTTTGTTGATATGTACAAAATGTTTTTCCCATCTGGAAATGCCGAAGAATTTTGCGATCATGTATTTCGCACTTTCGATATGGATAAAAATGGCTACATTGATTTTAAGGTATTTTTTTTATAAAGAATATACATACATATATTTTTTATTAATTTCTAGGAAAATTGTCTTTATGTATATATGTTAACTAATATTTGTTGTAATAGTGATGTAATTGAAAATCTATATCACATTTTAAATTATTAATATATTTTCAATATAATAGTCTGCACCGCGCATTTCCCATTAAGTTGTTGCGCCTTAAATATCAAAATAGTTATAAAACAGTGTATGTATAAAAATCTTGACATTAGAGTCTCAACATGAAAAAAAATTTATATATATAATATATTTATTAAATTTTAATTATTATTATCAATAATTATAAAATTTATAAAATATGTATATATTTATACATTAAATGCACTTTAAAACTCTTATTTTAAGTTATATAAATGAAGTGTTTGAAAGATGTATATTTTTAACAATATAGATATCAGAGACACCATGAATTCATACACCCATAAATAGCTTATCCAAATGATTTCATTTAAGCATTCTTCTTGTTATAATCGATATGGGAGACATGCACTTGAGTGTGTGAACATATATGTGGCTCCCGGATGTAGACCAGTCGACTCCTGGAACCTAACAATTTTCTTCAGTCTACCTGTGTGTTTATTTATTTATTTTCAAATTAAGATACTTTGTGTATGACTTCTTAATAATTAAATTTAAAAATTGTTAATAAACTTAAGGTAAATTGAGTTAAATTTATTCAATATATTCAATATAGGTGTCATACTAACACATCTTTCTGATATAAAAATCTATTCATTATGGAAAATATGAATACAGCTGTATTTTACATTCGAAAAAAAACAAATTTTATTTACAAAAGTTTATTAAAGTTATAATTAAGTTAATTTGTGTTTTTGTGAAATAAATAGTGCACCAAAATATATGTTGTCAATTATATTTTAGGAATTTTTGCTTGCTATAGATGTAACTTCTAGTGGAACACCAGAAGAAAAACTAAAATGGGCTTTTAGAATGTATGATGTCGATGGTAATGGTGTCATAGATATTCAAGAAATGACTAAAATTGTCCAGGTAATAAATTCGTATATAAAAAAGTTTTAAGAGAATATAAACTACTAATTATCAAAAAATAAAAATTTCATGTTTTAAGGCTATATATGATATGTTGGGTGCATGCTCTTCAAATCGTCCAGCTGATTCGGCCGAAGAAAGAGCAAAAAATATATTTGCAAAAATGGACGAAAATAATGATGGTCAATTAACTCAAGACGAATTTTTAAAAGGATGTCTACAAGATGAGGAACTATCAAAAATGTTGGCCCCATAAATTTTAAATTTAAATAATATAAGGCTAAAGAATGAGTTTAGAAAGATGACAAGAAAATCCAAATAGTGTGTGTATTTCATTGAATCATTTATATCATATTAAAATTTATAAATTTATATTTCTCAAAATAAATGCTAATACAACTACTTGAAATTTTTTTAATGTATACATATGATAATTTAAATAAAATATTTGCTATATGTATGTAAGATTTAATATCTTTTATTTGCTTCATTTAAACAACGGATCCAAAAAACCGTAAAGTTTATATAAAATCATATTGCAGTTGCGTTTATAAATATATTATATGGTAATGAGACAAGGTACCGATGTGCTCCTAAGACTTTTACAAATTTTTATATAGTTCCCTCAGAAGCAGCTATTTAATTTTAACATTTTTTGCTTCACAGGAAAGAGACGATGTATAACCCACAATGGGTAAACAAAATAGTAAATTGAAACCGGAAGTCTTAGAAGATCTTAAACAAAATACGGAGTTTACAGGTAATAATCATTTGAGTTATAAACTTATAGAGATTTTTTATAAATATTAATTTTTCTGACATCTATCGCTAAATTTACTATGAAATAGTTTTTAGATCTAATTTTATAAATATATTTTTTTTTTAAAACTAAGGATGCATATCCTTATTAAATAAATTTATACAAACTAGCTTAAAAACTCCCAGATTTATTAAATATTGTTTAATTTATTTATTTACACTATAACAAGTATATAGTATAACCATAAAACATAAGTTTAAATACAAATAAAATATTTTTCAGATGCTGAAATACAAGAATGGTATAAGGGATTTTTAAAAGATTGCCCAAGCGGGCACTTATCTGTTGAAGAGTTTAAAAAAATTTATGGAAATTTTTTTCCGTACGGAGATGCCAGTAAGGTAAATATTAGTATATTTTTATTATGTATGAGAGTATGCACATAACCATAAAAAAAACACTTAAAGGTATATACTTAATTTTAATTAAGTAAAAAAACATCTATTAAAAAATATTAAACAAACATTCTGGTTTCATAAATATTTATTGACAAGTTACAGTTAATATAAGCAGAAAAGAACAATGATGCAATACCACAATAAATGATTGTGATTTGTTTTTGCTGAGTGGCTTTTCTTAATAAAAACAACAACGAAATATAGAAACAAATCAAACTCTATTGGTAGAAACAAATATCGATTCTCTTTTTATTTTAATCATTCTTACAGGAATTTGTTAATACTCATTTACAAAAAAAAAAAATAATATACCACATGAGAGTTGTTGCTCTTCTACTGTGGCGTATTACTGACTTCAAATGGCAAGGGTCAATGTTTCTTCTATTAGAACCTCTGCCATCACATTTGTATTTGAAAATTTTACTTTTTTTATATTTTTCTCCAGATTGTACCGAAAATGCTCTGTAGAAATAAAATCTGTGACTTTGTGACGGAGTTTTAATAATCTTCTGTTGAGTGCGGAATGTCTTGAGTAGAAGTTACTACCGATGTTAAATTTTTGAGTACTACTTTTTATATTTCTCTTTAAAATATTGATATAGTGCATTTGAATCATTGATACATTTCATCATCATATTACCTACACCGAGTTCGCCGTACACCTCCAAACCATCACGGCGCCTGCTTGTATTGCAGTAATAACTGTAAGAGTTCGTTCTTCTAACTCAGTATTAATTTTATTCTTTAATGGCATCCAAAAAGTTTAATCTGCTTTCGTTGTTGTTGTAACCCGCCGGGATCTGAAGGCAGATAACATGAAAGATTTACAAAACGAATACATGGGTTGAGATGCAGATGGGTGGAGAAGGGAAGGATAAAGCATGTGTGGGATTACAACTGAAATTAACCCGGTTCCAAGAACGACCGAGCCTACGTTCCGGAGCCACTCGTCGATTCAGAAAATTATGCGCCATTCAATATCTCCCAAAGGGGTCACACAAGCAAAGCTTAACAAAGCTAATGATTAGATAAGATTAATGATCAACAAAGCTTTAGCAAATGTTAATTTTTCAAGTCGTTATGGTTTTTTACACGCATATCGTCCTCTATAGCCATTCGATTTTGAATAGCTTCATATTGTTTGTTTGTTATTTTGAAATGTATCTTAATACTTAACTAGAGTATCGAGGATTTTTGGATGTTTTCTTTACCTATCTCAACAACCAACGCTCACCTACTGTTGTGAATACATTTGGACAACCAGATCTTAGTTTATTCGTAACCGTTTTTTCAAGCTCTACACTTTTATAATATAGTGAATTGTTCTGCGTGACGTGTTAACTAATTAGAAAGTTTTTATTTTGTCATAATTTTTTAAAATGGTTGACAATAAAAATTTTCATTTAGATCACTGAATTAAGTGTTATTTTTTTTTTTTTGGATTTGGTGTAAATAAATCTGTAAAAATAATTAAAATAAGAAGATAAGTAATATTTATTTCTACCAGTATATTATTATTGTTTTTTTATTGAATTTCAGACAAAACGCACTAATATCGAATACTTCTTTTGACCGCTGCATGTATTATAATTCTTGATTTAATTATTTTATTTATTTAAAAAACTATTAACAAACCAAATTTAATCTATGTAGTAAAATGTTAAAATATAATTAATTTCTAACTATTCTTATTTTGTTGCCATCTGTTACATTTTTTTCAGTTTGCTGAGCATGTTTTCCGTACTTTTGATGCTAATGGTGATGGTACTATCGACTTTAGGGAGTTTCTTTGTGCACTAAGTGTTACATCCCGTGGAAAATTAGAACAAAAACTTAAATGGGCCTTTTCTATGTATGATTTAGATGGAAATGGTTATATTTCTCGACAGGAAATGCTCGAAATAGTTACAGTATGTTAAACTTGTTTTAATGTTATATTACATAGTATAAAAATGATATCCTTAGGCAATTTATAAAATGGTTGGTTCTGTAATGAAAATGCCTGAAGACGAGAGCACTCCTGAGAAACGAACGGATAAAATATTTCGACAAATGGATCGTAACAAAGATGGGAAATTGAGTTTGGAAGAATTTATAGAAGGCGCTAAAAGTGATCCATCTATTGTGCGTTTATTACAATGTGATCCTCAAACACATTAATTTTTATATATAATTAAAATGTAACAAGCAATAAACAATTATATTTAAATAAATGAAATTATATACGAAATAAATTTAAAAGTTTTTACATAAGAATGTTTTAGAATAGATTGAATTAAAACATCCCAGATTTCGTACAAAATCTAGATATACGGCTCCAAAGTATAACAACAGGGCGGTAAAAAAAATCTACCGATATGATTTCATCACAAAAAGGGTGTGTGTGTATGCACATGCTTTTAATCAAAAAAATAAAAAATTTCAAAGTCTAATAACTTATGACTTCAATTGAATACAAATTAGTGGTTGAAAAAATATTATGATGATATATTTTAATTGAGGCTTCGACTGAAAGAATTCAAACATCTTTGAAAAATTGCTTTTATCAATATATAATTCATATAAATAATTTTTAAAATATAACTCAAAGCTTTTAAATTAATCTAAATTTTATTACTTTAAGTATTATAATTTATAACTATTTTAAGCTGGCAAAAGATCAAAATCGTCGCTTACGTGCACAATTGGCACATGATCTTTCTCAACAACCAACTGAGTGTTGTAATCACATAATTCGTATTTCTTTAATGCAATTTCCCAGTCCATTAGTTGCACAGCGTGTAGGCTCTCAGCTTCATTGTGATGTCGTAATAACATAGATTCCTATAATTATATAATATATATAGCTCTTGTAATTAAAGACATTAATTTAAATAAAACTAACTTTAATTTTCTCATATTTGTCATCAACGTCCTGCAACCAACTAAGTAAAAGTCTTCCATTGAAACGATTTCTCGCGTTTCTGTCCTTCTCTTCTTGTTCAGGTGTTATAACATTATATACTTCTTCATCCTTTAACAGTGTACAAACAGAATATGGCATTGATTGGCAGGATATATTTCTAGCTGCTTTAGAATGCACTCGAATGATTTCCTGTTCAACGTTAAGACATAGCTTTTCTCTTTCTACAGTGTGTCGTTGAGATAGTTCTCTTCGTTCCTTCTCTTGAATAACAAATATTTCTTTCATTTTCGGGGGCACAAACGTAGGAGTATCAATTGCTTTCGTTTCCGCATTTTCCGAAAGTAGATACGTTCTTTTTGATAAAAGATACTCATTAAAACCTTGCGGTGGTCTGGCTTTCACTGGATCAATACTTTTCCATTTCTTTTCAATTTGTCTTCTAATGTTCAAAAACATTTGAAAGCAATTCGTGAATGGAAAATCATGAGGATGTGAATCAGTCACTGTTGTTGACGTTGCTTCTGGGCTGGGTTTAATATCTATGCTCGGTTTAGCAATAGTTTCCTCATTTTTAGAACGTATTTTTCGTTTACGTGGATGCAATTCAACATTATTAGTTTGTGTATCTTTCGATGATGAAGTCGATGTTGATGGACTTGGTAAATTTATTAGATTCTCTTGTTCAAAATTCTGGTGTTGTTGTAAGGGGCTCGTAGTTATGTTATTATACGTCACTTTTGCATCAATCACTTCAGTAGCATTCAACGATGCAGGTGACGGTGAACTACTTTGCATTTGGGGCGAAGAGTTGTTTGAACTTCTTTCAGCACTCGTTACACCAGAACGATGCGAACTACGAAGAACTCTTTGCAAGTTTTTTTCTTCATTCGATAATTTAATATTTTTTTCTTCAGTTGCTGTGCAAGGTGTATTAGCTTTAACCGGACTTTCATGAGGACTATTACATTGAGCTGAAGAATCTCTTTCTGCTGATTCATTACTCGAGCTAACAACATAGGGTAGAGCTGCGTTTCTAGACGCATTAATTTTACCTGTTCGAGATACATTGCCGTCTGTATCTAGAGAACAATTTTGCTGCGGTATAACAATTTTTAGAGGAGGTACCTTTAATCCACCGCTATATATATTATCAAGGTTTTTACAATCTTCATCATCGCCATCATTTTCAAAACTTTTTCCAGTATTATTTTTTACGCTCTCTGAGGGATCCTTATCTGTAACTGTTACTGATTTACTCGGATTCGGTGATCCTTTAGCTGCAGATGTTTGCTTTATACTTTTTTCTACTCTTCCAGGCAGTCGTATATTTACCATTGCTTTGGACTCTTTGCCATTATCGGAATCTTTGCGTTTTTTCTTTTTCACATCATCTGATTCTTCAAACTCATCTTCATCAACATCAGAATAATTACGTTTACAAATATTTGAAGAGGTAGATGTATCTAAGGTATTAATATGATCGGAATTAACATCTTTTTTTGTTTCTACGAAACCATCATCTGAAGTTTTCTTATCCTTTGTGCTATCTTGACCTTCTTGCTTTTCGCTTATATTATCTTCTACCTCCTCAGTCTTTTTATGATCATTTTTTTTCACGTGTGTACGAACTTGTTCTAAAATATAAAAGTGTTAAACACATTAATTTTCGTACTTGTATTGACTATATTAATTAATTTTTTTTTTTTTCCTTACCTGAGGATGATGTTGCAGTCATTTGTATTAGGAGCGCCATTTGTTGCCGTTCTGACATTGGGGTATTCGCAACTCCTGTATTATATCCAACTCCCCTCGGTCTTGGGGGTGGCATAATATTTATTAATTAAAAAATATAAAACAAAAAATATCAAGCAAAAAATAAGTCGGCGTCTACACACCATACGAAATAAATTCTTATACTAATATAATAAATAATATTCCTTCAATGAAATTGAAACACAACAGTCTGTACTGCATCACATATTTTTACTTCAGTAAAGTAGTATGAAACACATTTCTGGCAAAAAATTCAGTATATATATTTTTGAAAAATAATTATCATATCGATTTTATGCCAATATTTGGCATATGAACCAAAGAACATTAAGAATAAAGTTGAGAATGATAAAAATTATAGAGTAAAATTATTCAAATAATACTCAATATCAATAAATTTTTTAGAATGAACTCAATTTTAACTTTTTAGTCATTATAGGCTTATATGAACAAAAATATGTACAATATTAAAACACATCCTAGTAATTTCAAGAAAATAATTTTTTTAAAATTACAAACGTAAAAAAATTAAATAAAATTAAAAACATTTATTTAAAGAATATAAAGTGCCGAATTTTATAGAAATATTTTGGTTGTTATGTTTTGCCTAAGTTCATGAGGATTATTCACAATATCAGCAATCAATTATGTTATTGTGAATTACGAATTTATATTCAACTTAATTTTGTATAAATTGCACATTAATCGTATTTTTAGTTGTAATTTCAGATTTGAATAAAAGCTAATATGTCAAATAGTACAAATATGCCATCTCAATCAAAAATTAATTTTTCGTTATACTTATATTCAAATAAATGTATATCTCTATACGCGTACATAAAAATACAGTTTTTTTTTTTTGTTGCAACGGCCCAATGTTTAAATATAAAGGGTATAAGCTATAACAATAATTCTTAGAGAACGTTTAAACTGAGCAATTAATTGGATTAAATTGTATTTATTCCAATAAATTGCTTAATTGATATACGAATGGCAATATATGCCATGCATTTCTTGTTGCAGATTTATTATAATACTCCATTTCTTGCCATTAAAAAACAATGTTCTATTTGTTTGCGTTTTGCATCGTAGATATTATTTGCTTTTTAGTTTCAAGGAATCGCTGGTTGGTTTTTCATATAAGCAATTAATAAGCAAAATTTATGCTTCCTTGTTCTTTAATTTAGGATGCGTTAATTGTAATTAATGAAAACAATTCAATTTTCTACCAAAGAAGATAAAGAAAAGAAACAGAGTATTTCGAAAAATTATGTATAAAATTTTCTAGATTATTCAAATAATATTTAAAATTTTGTGTAATGAGGTGAAAATATCACGCAGTACAAAAACAAAAAGCCTAATGCTACACAATGGCACTTAATCATTTTCCCCATCCGGTCTTGCTATTTTGTCCACCTACTCACCACGATATTTGCTAAAATAATAACACTTTCTGAGAAATTTCGTTGTCTGTTTAGTTTTTTGACATTAAAAATCCATTTCGAGAAAATGCTATAAAGTTGCAATTACTTGAACAAATATCATACTACTAAAAGATAAAGGCGGAATTGAAAAGCATTAATTATTTTACAAAAATATACGAATTATTACTTATTTAAAATTGTTTTGAATAAGAATCGGAAGTGCATACTTAAATGTTTCTTCATTTATATTTGATTTAAATAGCAAATTTAAAATTTTTATGTAAATAGAAGTAAAATTGATATAAAAAATAATATTTATATTTACTCATTAAAACGAAATGAATATATACAGTATATTTTCTAATAACAATAAATTATATAATTTCTACTAATGAGTGCATGCTAATATGCAAACACAAATATAATAAACATTTAGGTTATAAGACACACCGATTTTAATATTTGACATTTCTGTAATGGTGAATAAGTAAGAGAGATTTTTTTACGATATTTTTTACACAAAGAGGCATAATATTATTCAAAATTACCTATCAGTTTCTTTTCTTTATCTTCTTTGTTTCTACTCTACAACTGATTGATCTACATAATATTTACACTACGCAATTTTATAAACAGATACTGAATATAAGCTACATTATTTTTATTTAGTATTAATCTAAATAATAAGTGAACACTACACAATAAAGTTGTTACTATCCTATCTGTATACATAGGGTGGAACGTAACCTATAACATTTATATTTAAATTTAATATATTTGTGTTCCATCATACAAAGCAATGATTAAAATAGATTTTTCTTTAAACTTGGTATATAGTATACACTCTAAATTCCCCATATATATAGGTGGAAGTTGTTATTTTAGGAGTTCCCATATAATATTATTTCAATTATTATCTCAAACATAAACGATTACATCATAAAAAAATTTGGATATATTGCATTAAAAGTAATCTCTGATTTAGGGGTAATTAGCATTAATCATCAGCATTATGTTTAAATGAAAAAAAAATTGGATTCTTTGATGAAAAACTGAAAGGGGTGGTGTTTTCTTCCTTGTTGCTAATTGTAAAAAAGAAATTTTGAGTTTTAAACTGTCATTCTTTTTATTTATTTACTTACTGATATTAAACTTAACATGTACTAAATTTTAAATATATAAGCAGATCCAAATCATCATCAGCTGTTTTTCATAAGTGTAAATGCTTCACAAATTATTTTATACTTTCAACTTAACTTTTGATAGTTTTATATAGTACTATGTTTTTTTTTCAACCAAAAAAAAATGTTATGTTGAAAGATGTTACGGAGTCTAAATAACAATTACTGTATTTGAGACTAAGTAAAACCACACACCAATAAATATATAAATAAATATATATGTATGTATATAAAATAATATAAATATATATATAAAATAATATAAATATATAAAATAATATAAATATATAAATTATATGTATGTGACAAAATCCTACTCTTCTTGTTGTCGTTCTTGAGCCACAGGTGGTATTGTAAATGCTTGGTTTCTGAGTACTTTTTTTTTTAAACAATAATACATAAAAATTACGTACTTTGCAGTTCATTTACTTTAGTTTCGTTTTCTTTCTTGCATATATAAGTTTCGTTTTCTTACCACTGCATATATTTTACATCGGAGTATATACCATACATACATAGAAAGTAAATTAGTCACAAGCCCATCAGCTGATTCTTGATGTACTTGGGGTATATGTATAGTGGGTGAACATTGAGCACCTATTGTACCAAACAATTGCTCATATATTGATTTAGTTCTTGGTTCATCCAGCAGGCAATCCAATATTCACAACAAAATTTTTTAACATACTTAAAATTGTTCTTCAGAAACATCAGTATTTATCTTTAGTTGAAACCTTTCGTTGACTGCGTTTGAATCACTGCTCGTTTTTTCAAAGTCACTTTTTCATTTCAGTTTTCCAATTCTGAATGATTATAAATGAAATTCTAATAAAATTTATGATACTCTTCTCTTCTGATTGCTCCTATTTATTAACGTGGAATATTGTTATTCAAGAATAGATTTAAACTCAACATTGTGGGGTATTAATAAATTATTTTTAATATTTTTGATAATATAATATTTTAAATGATGTATAATTTATCCCAACTCAAATATTCTCACAAAGGATCCCAAATCAACATCATAAATATTGCGAAATAGGAGTAAAGTACCAGATATTAGTCTGGTTTCTAGGTTTTTTTTTAAAAGTGTTTGATTGGAGAATGTCAAAAATTATTTATTTCCTTTTTTTTCAAGAAAAAAAGCGGCAACAAACAGTTTTCTAAATTATTATTTAATGCTGAAATCTGAGGTAAATTCTTCAATCAAGATTCGCTTTTAGTGCAATTTTCATTAACAATTGGTAAATCTCGGGTGAAATGTATAACATTCAAAATTAATTTATAACTAGATTACAAGATTATACTGAAATCAACAGCTGTTTTATATGATTTCACAAATAAAGTGTGGTTTGATTCAATTTATGAATTTATAAAAAATATGGATGGTGTTTTTAATTGGAAATATATATAAATATTAGATGTCCCTAAAAGTGTTCGAATTTGACAGATCAGAAGTAAATCTTGATGGAATCCAGATTTACCAATCGAAAATAGCCGTAAGTATGTACGTAGTTATCATTCTAAAAACTTTCATACTTATTATTAAGTTTGTTTTACGCATACATACCTAAGCGTATGCACATTTTAAAATAAAAAAATAATGCAGAACTACAAAAAACAGAAAAGTATTTTATTTTTCAATTTTTTAAAACAAATTTCCCAACACGTTGTTTTTTTTTCAAAAATTATAGTTATTTTTAATATCAATTCCAATCTAAAAATTGTACATTTTAATTAATTAATTGTACACTTAAAATTGTACATTTTAGTGTACATTTTAAAACGCAATATATAAATTCTCAATTTTTGAAATAAGTTCCTATAGCAAAATATATCGTCCATATTTAGTTCATCTGTGCAGCAATAACACCTTAAACAAATATAAAATAATCTACAACTATCATAGCTCTATAAAATTAATATTATTTAAATTTACGAACATATATTTATATATGTAATTAAACTCAACCTAGAAATGTTTGTAAAAAATTTAAATTTTCACTTAACTCAAATTTAATTTTTATTGTTTAATACATGAATTCACTAATTTACTAAGTACAAGTAATAATTTAACTGCTTAAATAATATTCTAACAGTTTTATAAAGTTCTTTAAAATACTTTTTAAATAATTAGTTATTTATGTTCAATCTTCATTCATTATAGTAGAAAACATTGCAGCCAATTTTTCAGCTTCATCTAAGACTTGTTCTCTCGGTAAGTTAGCGGATAATGTCTTAAAATTTTGAATATTCGTTAACAACTTATCGAAAGCATCCAATTGTTCTTCAACACCCAAACTCCATTCTGAGTCAGAAGTGTCATCTAAAGAATTTTCTATAAAAAGAAAAAAAAAATAATTTCAAACTTTTATATTTCACAAACGTACCTGTTTCCAAATTACTTGGATATTTCACGTTTGACCATATATTATTATGCAAGGCCCTAATTATTTCGACATATTCATGTACTTGCTCGTTTCTCTCCTCATCATCTTCATCATCGGATTTTTGGTTTAGTTCAATAACATCAAAAACAATTTTGCATATACTTTTTAGCTCTTTGTATGTTATTCCTGTTGACGGCTCGTCGCAAAGTTGCTTTGTTATCAATAAACCTAATTCGATGTTATTGTTTTTAACGAAAGTGATTAACTCATCGATCTCAGTTAAAAATGATCTCTAAATATACAAAATTAAACACATTCATAAAAATATTACTGAAAAATTACATTTTCTGAATCAAAATAATATATGAATGCTTCACACATTTCTAAGATATCCGACGGTATTGCTTTGCAGTCTAAGTCACAAGGAAACAAAACAATTTGATTTTCATAATACTTTGTTTTTACATTGCACAACATAGCTGGAGCCTTTATGTTCCCAATCGTTGTCTCGATGACTTGACCACCATTCGCTGTTGCTATGTCTAAATGAATTGGAAATTAAGATAACGTTTATATATTTAATGTACTCATTTTCTACTTTTGACAATATCCATGGGTTTCATGTCACAATTAGATTTAACTATTACAACTGGATTCATTGTTTATTTTATTTTTCTTTTTTCAATTTTTACAATTATGTTTACAATTATTACAATATTCGCATTGAGTATTTTGTTCGATTAGTACAGCATTTCTTTAGTTGTGGAACAGTGGTAAACAGAGTGTTACAAAAAATATTAATTGAATTGTCATATTAGGTCTGTTCCACGAGCTACTTATTGTAAGTTTAAGTAACACTGTGTATACATTGGTGCGTTGCACCAGCAAATATTCAAGTAAATGAGAGCATCTGAGAGAGCGTAACATTCGTGTTGAAATTTGAAAATTCTACACAGAATTTACTTGTACATTGGTTTTGGTTTAAATTCAAATTTTTGTATTGTTTATTTGCGCGGCACTGGTGTTCTCACCAGATTTTACACAAAGCTGATCCTTGAAAATCTGTGTAAACAGAGTAATCTGGTATATTTTTGTATTACGCTCTCAGTTTGTACTTTACTTGTGTTTTACTTGAGTTTTTCTATGAGTAGCTAGTGGAACAGACTTAATATAGGACGTATATACGCAACCTATTACCATTTTCACATTTTAGTGCGAACTTTAGCGAACGAATTTTGTTAATATCATGTTTACTTAATAACTGCTTACTTAATAAGTAATTCAAGGAACTTCAAGATTTTGCGTTTCCAATGACATAAGTTACCTATTGTATGTAAAAGAGATTTTATGAGTCAGAAAGTTCTTTGAAAGGTTTAATAGAACTTTTATTTATTTAGTAAGTTTTTATTCACACATAAAATTATATATATAATTGACATATTAAATCATTGGGCCTACTTACACTGGCATGAACGTGAAATGAACTTGACCACAACATGAATTGTCAGTTCAGTTTACACTATCATGAACTCTCATGAGCGTAAAATTTGTTTTGTTTTATATAAACGTATAAAATGCTTGTATGTAGTAGTGCAGAGCACAGAAATTGAGAGTATTCAACATTAAAAGTTAAACATAAACATAACATTATATATGTATGCGTGTCAAGCTAAAGAACCGCAGCAAATTTCATTGCGTGAAATTCATAAACTCACATCACACTCTCTTCCCTCTCTCATCAATAAGCAACCGGTTTTTAAGTTCATGTTCATGTTCATGTTTCCTACAAGGTTATACTACGTTTCCACTGCGTACTTAGTAAGTCATATAGTAACATTGAGCTTTTTGCGTTTATATTATCATGAGTGACTTCAGCAATGGGAAGTAATAACAATTGGCAGCTAAAATTACAAACATGATAACTGAAATTACTAATTAAACTCTCAAGTAAATCCAGTATTATCAAATATTCTTTTCAAGGTAAATAGAATTTACAATACAGATATCGATGTAAGATATCAAAAACAACAATTCAATCGAAAATAAACTTTTTTCCTTACCGCCGTTAAAAGCATTTTCAAGTTCGTCTCTAATAACAGCATTCTTAATGACGTGACTAACGTGCGGTATCGAAAAACACACCTAACTACTCAATGTTTAAAACAAGGTCTGTTCCACGAGCTACTCGTTATAAAACTCAAGTAAAACACAAGTAATATACAAACTGAGAGCGCAACACAAAAAAATAGATTGCCAAATTTCGCTCTTTACACAGTTTTTCATGGAGCAGCTTTGTGTAAATTCTGGTGAGAACACCTGTACCGCTCTAATAAACATACAAAAATTTAAATTCAAACCAAAACAGCTGATTAAGACATCAACACAAATTTTACTTGAAATAAAATGTACGAGTAAAGTGTGTGTCGCATTTTTAAATTTCAACAGAGATGTTACGCTCTCTCACATGTTTTCATTTACTTGAAAATTTGCTGATGAAAAGCACTTGTGTATACACAGTGTGAGTGAAAGTTATTACGAGTAGCTAGTGGAACCGACCTACTATTACGTAAATTAATTTTTAAAATTCGAAATCGCCTTGTGTTACGTTTCATAATTAACTGAATTAGTTTGCCAACGACGCCGGTGGTTCTTACTACGTGTCCGCAGCTTCTCTAAAATAAGATTTGCTAATTAAATTGAAAAGATGCACACATTTTTAACAAGAGGAAATGCTACCGTAGCATACACCTTGAGCATACTTGCAGGTTTAACATTTTGTTGTTTTATATCAACAGTTTTTCTGGATTATAGAACAAACGCACGTATAAACACTGTGAAGATATTGGTGTAAGATTGATTTTAAATTTAATTTAGAGTGCATATGTCATTTTGTTATTCTGTTTTCAGCAAAAATATGCCAGATTATGGGTCTTCAAGGGAAAAACATGATTTAGGTTTTATAACATTTGATTTGGAAACTAATCTTACCAGTCTGTTTAATTGGAATGTTAAGCAGTTATTCCTATACATGACTGCCGAATACAAGACAGCTGAAAACGTTTTGAACCAAGTAGTTCTCTGGGATAAAATCATTTTGCGTGGGGAAAACGCAGCTTTGGATTTCAAGAGCATGCATACAAAATATTATTTCTGGGACGATGGTAACGGTTTAAAGTAAGTATTTTTCTTCGCACATAAAATTTAAAGTATACATTTAAATCAAAAATAACTACTTTCTTCGTATGTGCAATTATCGAACATGTATAGATATGTGAAGTTGAATTATTTATCCCGTTCGTTAATATTTAGATTAGATTTATATATAAGCTAAAATTCTGCCTACCTTTAAAGAAAATTTAATTAAAGTAAAATATCTTCCTCACACCATGCTACAAATACGTCTAAAGCAATTAAAACATGTTTACCACATAAAATTTTATTTCTCTTGCTGATAAATATTTATGGTACATGATGATTGGATAAAAACGAAAAACTCAGCCGTAGATGCATTACATAGAATTTAAAACTAAATCAAAGATATATTAGTTTTGTAGATCAACATTTACTTTAAAATGTAGAAACTTAGAATTCTAACTTATAAATATTATCAACTCAATGTTATTTACGGATCATATAACTTGATCGAAAGACCTTAACGGATTAATAGGGTTGTCGTTGTGACGTATAGGTTATTAAAAATTAACTAACTCAATTTCAATTTTTTTATAATTTATTACTTTATTTGGTTAAGAGATTTCAAAAAGTAGGGAACTACAACAACAAAAATTATTTTTATATTAATGTTAATTTTTTCTTGCCGAGAGTGACGCGTCTTTATGACAAAGAAAAATATTTAAAAGTTAAACGGATTTGAATAGCAAAGAAAATACGACAAAAATTTAGTTAATTTAGTGAAATTTGGTTGACCATGCAACGCTCTTTCTTTTTATATTATTTTAAATAATTGATTTTTGCTGGACCATATGGCTGTTTCGGATGTATACCCATCGTAACTCTTGGTCTTGGAATTATTTCTTGTATTTAATTATTCGTAAATAACGATCGATAAACGATAAAAGTTAATATTCCTAAAAAAGAAAACCGACTTTAAAATATTTCAAAAATTAAAAATCAAAACTATCCGTAAAGTTTTTTGTCACTGCAAGTATCAAGGGTTGAACCCGTGTTAAGGCAAATTTGATACTTAGAGTCAGCGTTTATTAGTCAGCCAACTGACTCAAAGCCGTCAGTTGGCGGCTTTATTTGGTTAAGAAATCGGAATAGCCGTACTTATGATACTTTGTATATACACTATACTAGCACTCAACAAAACGAGATTTAAAAAGATTCCCTACTAATATAAATGAAAATTAAGAAGGAACTTATAGTATTTTTTTTAACAAGCTTTTCATATCTATTACTACCTTAATGATTTCATATGATTTTTTCCGTACTCTCAAAAAAGAAGTACAAACACTGTAAACTCTTTTAAAAACAAAAATTTTTCAAATTTTCAAACATGTTTGGTTATGAATATATTATTTACCATATTCTTACCAAAGTTTTCCAAATGTTTTCAAATTTATTTTTTAAATTTAACTAAAATTAATGCTTTGCTGTTTGAGTATATTGTCGACTGCAGATAAATATAGTAGCATCGATTTGTCTCGACATTACAAATGTTTTCAACTATCTGACAGAGTGGATCTTTCCACATTGAAGCAGAATGTATATTGTTATTATTTTTTGTGTTAATTGTCTGGTCAGAACATTGTTCGTTGAAATGTAACTAAAATAATAAATTCTACATTTTATTTGAATGTATAAAAAATTATATATTTTTTAAAGAAAATTATTATAAATGTAATGCATATTATAAGAATATCCTTTTATTGACTTTTACAAATATATTCTTTACAGGAACAACAAAAACGTTTCTTTATATTTGTCATGGAATATTATACCAAACGCTGGATTGTTACCAACAGTAAAATCTCATGGCGGTCATATTTTTAAGTTCCCTGCTGAGTACACTGCAGCACCGATGTAAATAAGAAGATCATTTTTTATTTATTTTACTAAAAAGTAAATAATTATTAAACAAAAAATTTAATAAAATCTTAAACATTTTTTAATAAATAGAAATTGAACTTATTTTAATGGTTTTTTTATTATGGGAATTATGTTTTTATTTTTTGTAAAAATAAAGCAATAAATTGCTTAAATAGAATATACATAAAAAATCGAAATAAGTAATTCTAATCGCTTATGTATGGTATAAACTGAATATTTTAAAACAAATATATTTTTTAAAATACTTTTTAATTTGTATATTCCTTTGGTTATGCACTATATTAAGACAGATTTTTCATTTTCATTTTTTTCTAATTTTACACAATCTTTGTTTAATTTTCAGTTTTTACAGAAATGATTATGATTAATTAATATGAGTTGCATATATTACGAACTAGCATGGCTATAGTTATCAAATATGTATGTATGCTATCGTATTTATATATTTATATGTACTTGTAGTATGTATAATATCTTAAGTGAATTTATTTCCACATCAAAATACATATTAACACTCTGGAGCTAAATCTGCTGACAATCTATGTAAATCGGCATAGTTAGCAATAGCGCGATGAAGGAACTCATATTGTGCCTAGAACAAATCACAATCTCAATAAGTTTATTCTTAGATCAATATGAAGGTGACTTACATATGTATTTAACAATTTTGGCCGTTGAGATCGTATCTTTCTTGCTGTTGAGCAGATATCGATACCTTTTTCTGTCCTTAATTGTTGTACTAAAATACACATGGCAACGAAAATAGAACTGCGATCTGTCCCTAGACTACATATTCAGAATATAAATAAAATAATAGCGTATAGTAAGTGAACAATTGTATATAAATATGTAATAATAACCTGCAATGTACAGTTAATGGAGATTTGCATCCTGTGTTTTTGTTCTTATTGTGATGACTCTGTGCTTGATCTACTAATTCTATAATACCACGACAAACCTCTGGTACTTCTCCGTCTACCGTCGGCCAGCCGTTATATTGAAATTGTGTCACCTTTACTGTATCATCGATTTTGCAATTAGTTACGTTAAACTCTCTGCGTGTATAATAAGGACAGCTTTCGCTTTGCATATATTTCACAACAATATGATCATATTGAATTTCGTCATCAGCCCAATATCGTGGACATTTCCGGTTACCGTCGCCTATCTGAAATTATCAAATAAAAAAAAAATTATCTAACACTTTTCAAATTTTGATTTAAAAAACATAAGGCACTAATTAATATTTATATTTACAGATACAGCATTAAATAAAAATTTCATCAAATATGTAATATATTACCTCTGATATCATAACAAGTGTAGAAATACTTTGTTCGGAAACCATTCTCCAAAAATCTCCAATTGTGTTCTCCATTGGATCCTGTGCTATAATAAAAGTTTCGGAATTTTCATAACCTTCTATAAATGATGCATTTATGTACGTCGAATTATCTTTCATTGGTAATGGGGCTAATATAACCTATAAAAAAATTGCTATAAATAAAATACATCTTAATATGGCATTATTATCAAAAAACTTACGCGGTTCCTGTCATATGGAATTACAGATTCACTTCTATTTTTAATTACGTTTTCTTCGTTGCTCCCAACAGAACAAGATTTGTTAGTTTCGTCCGCAACAGTTAATAATTTCTAATAATTAACTTAATTAATTAAATAATTAATCTAAATTAAATTAATAATATAACACCTCAAATTCTACTTCCAGTTTGCACTTGTCTTTTCCATCATTGGCTTTTGTTTTAAGATTTTCAACAGTATTTGACAATGAAATTGCACTCAACTCTGTATTCCCGAAGTGAGCAGTGTCCAGCAAAGCTCGATACAAAAATATATATTGTTTCTAAGAAAAACAGTACATTCAACTTAAGTAATATTCAATTTTAAAAAATTATACTCACTAAAGACTGTACAAGAAAATTTCGTTGATGTCTAAGGTCGCACACTGTATTAAATATGGCAACTTGATCTTCTTCTTCTAACTGCTGCATTAAGGAATCTAAAGCCACTAAAGTACCAGTACGACCAACACCAGCACTGCAATGCACTAAGATCGGCCCTCGTTGTACTGAATATACTGCGTTAATATGACGAATAAATTTTATGATTCCGTGTGGATGTTCTGGTGCCATAAAGTCTTTCCATACCAAATAATGGTACTGTGTTATTTGCCGTCGTTCCTCCTCCTCTTCATTACCAGAATTTCGTTTGAATATATCCAAATTACGAACAAGATAATCTCCCAACTTCTTTTCAGCAATAAATTTAACAGTGATATCACCAAATTGTTTGAAATCTAATATTTTTTCTGGCCAATATTTAGCACATTTCGATTTATTGTATTCCTCTAAATTTGTTAGCATAACAATTATTTCCAAATGTTGTTCCCAGATCATACGCCAAAAGTCATTTATTGTGCTTTCCATTGGTCCCTGAGCGCAAATAAATTTTTTTCGTTCCTTGTACCCTATTACAAAGTTGGCATTTATATAATCTGAACCTTGTATGCCATTCAGTTGTGACAACTTTACGCGAGTTTGATCGTAGGCTTTAATATCTGGATATCTATTTTTTAACGTATTTTCTTTCATATCAGAGTTTTTTGTCGTCCTGTCGCTAAACCTATTAGGTAACATTTCATATTCCCGTAGAAATCCGTAATCAGTATCCTTATGTCTATTTTTATACGCTGTATATAAATCAGTTTTATGTATGGGGCCTATGTCTGATATTTTCGCATTTGTGGTCCCGATAAAATGTCTATGGTTACCAGTTCGTCCACCAAACAGTGCTCTGCTAAATATTAGAAAAACAACAAAATATGTATTATGATAAAAAAAACTAAATATTTGGTTTAATATCATAACAATTATAGTGATAATTAAGTTCGATTTTATATCGACTTCATTACTTCAATAGACTTTATTGAATGTAAGTGGTGCTTATTATGTCAGATATTTTAAACATTAAGTTTAACAATTGCTTTCAATGACAAAATTTTCATTAGAGTTTCAAAGAAAGTTAGATACTACTAGATTTTAAAAGCAAATAAAAAATTGTAGCATTGAAGAAAAAAATATTTATACCTTAAGGAATCTCTTAGACTGATTACTTCTTCGCCAGATGCCGAGTTTTTAGTATTATAGTGAAGGAAACATAGCGCAACAATCAATATTAAGATAACTACGAATAATGCTGCTGACAACTGTAAAGCGATATTGAAAAACAGAGATAAATCATCACCAGTATCAAATTGTTCCGCCTCAGTGCCGGGTGTTATAGTCTCAAAATAATTACTAAATGCTGTTAAAATTTGATGACCATCGCGAACTATTAAAGTTAACATCAATAAAGAATAATGTAATAAAATTACTTAGGTAAATATTATTACCTATAACTTCTAAAAATCCTGTATAGTTACTATTCATATCGAGTGGTCCATCTAATACCTCTTCAAACGCTTTTAAAGAAACAATTTCATGTGCATACGTTGGTTGCTCAGCTTCACTAGAAATGGTTTGCGCACTTTCTCCGGTTACAATTTTCGGATTCCTTCGACGTCTTCTTTTGTTGTCTAGAATTTTGGATGCTGCTTCAGTTAGATTTGATGCTTTATTTAATTGTTGTCTCTGAGATAATTCTGGATATACGGGAATATCTAAATATCGGGAAAATCTATTATGAAAAGTAAAAAATTTAATCCGCAATGCTTACTCTGTGGTGTTTCTGTGGATGTTGGTATGATAAGCTCAAATGTGTGTTTTCTTAAAAATGGTTTACCACCCAAACATTTACGACAATCATTGTCGTTCTTATCTAAATTTCCGCCATCAATTTCAATAAATCGTTTCCCATCACCTAAGAATATTTCCGACCTAAAATTGTTCCCGGAAAACATTTCTGCAATATACGCACCACCAAACGTATTGTTCGTTGAGTGCACTTCGTTGTATGTTGAAATGTCAAGTTTTTCAGGAGGAGGTAATTCATTTTTAGAATTTTCGCGCCTTACTAAATATAATCTATAACAACATATTGGGCCATTTCTTTCACTAATTTTTGGAAGAAATACTTTGAAAATACAGGTGCTATCTGTAGTTTTCACCTTATTCCAAGTAGCGCGATTAATGGATTCTGGAACAGTAACAGGCATAGTACATTTACCAATTACAAGTTCTCCAACTTTCTTGTGTCGCGTTATTGCCGCAACAGTGACAGTATAGTTTGTATTTGGATTTACACCTTCGTAAATTGCTTTACGCAAAGGTTCTGCAACCCGTCGCACCTTAGGGCCCCAAACTTCATTATGCATCTTGTCACCTAATTTATATGTGGACACACCATCTAAAGTTATATGATATGATTGTACTTTACCGTTTGGAATGTCTGGCAAGTTCCAAGTCACAAGTATTGAATTTGAGTTTATGCCAGACATATTATGTGGGATACACATTACTTGAAGATCAGTAGGTTTTGATGCAACTCCATCCATTGTTGTTCCATTAACAATTTCTGACCACGGACCACAAAGTTTTGTTAGTTCACTACAGGCTCGTACTTTAAAATAGTACTCAGTTGCGGTTTTTAAATTATCAAACATATATGGCAAATTTCTTGAATTCTGGTGGTAAACAGTTGCTTCAACTACTTCAGGTACATCACCTGCTTCTGATACTTCTAACTCATAATATTGTATAAACTCCAAAAGTTCCGATGGTGGTGGATCCCAACCTATTGTTATAGTAGACGATGTACTTCCTGTAGTTTTTACTTTAGGAATGAAAATTGGATCTTCCTGTAATGTTCTAATACTTTGCGGATATTGATGCGGTACACCCTCACCTATACTATTTTTCGCAGACAATCGCAGTAAATAACTTGAATTAGGAATAAAGTTTTCTAATACATATGATGTATTTTTTCCTCCTATGATGTGATCATAAAAATCGAATATCGGAGAACCATCTTGCATATACTGTATAAAAAATTTTTGAATAGGATCGTTTCCATCATTAAGAGTCCAGTTCAAATATATTCTACTTGCTCCCACTGCTTTAACATAATCAATGTTTACTTGAGGAACATCCATTACCAACAAGTCTATACTTCGCCTGGCAACTTCTTCGCCTTCAGTTCCGTAAACAACACAAGCATAAGAACCATTTTCCTTCTTGTAAACTTCAGCAAGCTCGAGAGTATTATTAACATGAGTACTATTTATTTGTTTTATAATCGTTGACTTATCTAGAAAATCGAACGAACTTTCGTCTTTTAACCACTTTAATTGTTTATGAAAAGAGTCGTTTTGAGGATAGGCTTCAATTAAACAAAAAAGGGTAACTGCATGTCCAATTTTCTGCTTTTCTCTTGCGTTGTTACTTTCTATTATTTTAGGTTCTACAAAAGGTTGAACGAGAAATATTTTGAACGTATCATTTACATTCGTTTGACATTTATAAGAACCTCCATCAGATTTTTTAATTTTATTTATAGTTATTGAGTATTCAAATACATTCTTTTTTTCCTCGATGGCATTTCCATCGGTGTCGGAGATAACGTCCTTAATATTTAGAAAAAATCTAAGCAGATAACAAAAATTTATTATATTAGCAATGTGGGTAATTTTTACAAATATAATTTATTTAATTTTTTATTAATTTATAAAATAAAATCTAACTTTTGTGTAATAAGCTCTTTTATTACCTTTTGTTTGGAAAAAGTAAAGGTTCATCATTGTAACTCCAAGTAACATTCTTGTTTTCGGATATACATTTAATTGTAATATTTTTTCCGATTTCAGCAAAGATTATTTCTAAAATTTTAAATATTAAAATTATATAAAAATATTATTTATAAGACATATAACAAACAAAATTATTGACATATCAACAATATGGAATCTACTGAATATTAGGCTCTGAAAGAGACTTCACTGCTTATGGAAAAGGAAAATAAACATATTCAATTTGGATGATTAATATACTGGCCGAATGGATTAATGAGTACGAAAATATTCTAAACGATTTAACTTATCACCCACCTCCCTCAAAACGCATCCTTTACAAAGTATAACATATTTAAAATCGCTATGAGGCGGTACTCGATTTCCATTGATTTTAGCTGTAAGATAATAGAACTTTATGAAAATATTTACAATTCATTTGCGCTTTCGTCCAAATGAATACAGTTGAAATCACTTAAAGGCTTTTTCGAAGTTAACAAAGTTATTTTAAATGAGATTTGCAAAAATTTCTATTGAAATATCAATTGCATTTAATTTTAATTAATTTTATATTAATTACTTTTTACAGAACACTTTTTTAAATGTTCAAACCACTTTTGTAAATATGATTTTAAATTCAAAAGTAATATGCCAACCATCTCACTTATGAATATAAGTATAGCAAACTTTTGGTGCCTCTCACCCCACATAAATTTAAACAAAATTGATTGGGCGTCGTCGTTGTAATCAGAATTGTCTATTTTTTAAATCGAACCAGTTGATATTTATAATTTTATATTAACTGTAAATATCAGCTCTATATTACCTTTTTCTTCAGAAGCTTCAGTAAATTCAGTAAGAATCAACGACGTAAAAATTACAATAAAAATTGTTGAGGGCACTAAATGTAGTATACACAAACTTTGTCTCCCTAAACGACTGTTTGCAGATTTTGTCATTGTTGCGCTTTTTTTCGCACAAAACTATTGAAGAGTATTTTACCGGATAATAAATTTATAATATTATACACATTACTATTATTGAATTATTAACCAAACACAAACAATAAATTCTGAGCAATTTGCCGGACCCCAAACAATTTTAAGGCTTGTCGTAGTGTTCCATGTTCACTGTTTCACATCATATTATCAATGTAGAAGTCCGCCGCCGATACAATAAATTTAAATCATACTTTAACTAGATGTACGTCTTTAACAAATATATTTTTTTAGAGTTGTAAATAGTGATTTGTATTTAAGGTTTAATAATTCAAGATTTATTTAATACATTATTTAATAAAACAAAAAATTTTAGATTTTGTATAATATTGAAAAATAGTTATATTATCCAACATTTTAACTGCATATTTTCTGTAGTGCTCTTTGAAAAAATTATAGCAAGAACAGACATGCCAAGGCATGTATTTTGCCTGTATAATCATGTATGTTAAATAATAAATAAAATAGATCTATGTAACTTACAAACTGTACTTATTACAGATCTTACGTTTATAAATAGTTTTTAAGTTGCACAGATGTTTTTAATATTAGGAATTTTCCTGATAAAGGCTAAAGCGAATTTGCAGAAATATGTATAATAAATAAATATGTATTTGCAAAATATATAACGTTCGAAATAAAAGTAAAAATTCTGAAAAACCAAAACCGACTTTAAAATAGTTTCGACGTAACAACTTAAAAATTAAAAACAAGATTACAAGTTAAAAAAAATTTTATTTTTATGTTAGAAAAATAATATTTATTCTTGATTTTTATGTTTTCAAGGCAAAAATATTAATTAGTTATGCGTTTTAAACTAAAAACGTAGAATGTTTAAGTGATTCATGTGTGGAAAAGTAGAAGGCATATAATAAAAATTATTTTTGAAAATTATAACTTAAGGCAAATTTAATTAATGTGTTTTGAGTTTTATTTTAAAAAGGCAATTGTGTATAAAGTATACATTATGTGAAGGATAAAAATTGTTGGATTGATTACTATGAACTTAAATAAGAACTTAGACAACTTTTTGTTGCGGCTGATTTTCATGAAAATTTTTGATATTATTATTATTTCGTTCCGTTCCGTATTTATTAAAAATACAAATAACTACTAACATTATTGCAATAAAAATTGAAATAAAAGTGAATTTCGATTGAAAAAGTTACTAACTTTTAGTAAGAATACTAGTAAGAAACTACTTAGTATCAAAAAACTTTAATTCTAATACACGGTAAGCTATGTATGCGTTGTCTCTAATATTGTTAGATTATTAAAATTGTTTTTCTACATGATTTTGCCGAAGCAAAAATGTTATGTTTACCATGAAACAATTAGTTCGATTTTAAACTGATATGTTTTCCTATTGATGGTGCTTTTCCAGATTTCATGATTCATCAAACAGACGCAACATATGTACATATCTTTACATTTTTATGTTTTTGTTTAAGTTTTAGATGTTACCCCATAAACAGAGAAAGTTAAACTGAACAAGAATTCTGTATTTAACTTATTTTTGTTGAGAGCTAAACACTGGTAAAGTAAACTTGCATGCGTTTTCTTTATATATTAAGTACAATTCATCAATAGTTATAAATTAGCATTGTTAAGATACTACTAATCATATCAAATAAAAGAAATTGAAAAAAAATTTTATTTTTATGAACCAAACTCCCAATGTAAAAGTTTAAACTATGTTATTTCTTAATTACATACTTATAAAAAATTCATACAATATTCATACAATATTATATATTGTAGTTTATCAAAAAAAAAAAAATAATAGAACGTATTTTTAAAAAATTGTTAAACAAAACTTAAATCCTTACATGTAATATCAATTTTCAGTGATCAAACCGTACAACTTTTGAACTACTGAAAATAAAATTATGATTCTTTTTCTTTTGTTGGAAATTTTTAGAATTTGCTGTATTTCAATTTTCAATCATTTCTATTCAGATTTTGAGATATTTATAGCTGAAGTTCTTTCGTAGTATAACAATGGGCAAGCGCAAATACGCAAGTGAACTTTGGAGCACAAGGGTGCCATTCCAATATAAACTAACCTAACATGTAATATAGATTTTATTGTTATGAGTTTCGTTAAACCAAAATATATTATTCAAAATATAATTTTCATGACTTCAATTATTATACGTTCCGAATATTAGATATTATTTAGTCCGAAAATGCTAACAAAATGTTAAATAAATATCTTCTCCTTATTGGAAATATGTGCAATTTAGTATTATCCTTTCTATGAAATAAAATTTGCTGAATTTTTTTGTCATATTTATTCATTTAATTTTTTATTCATATCCTATCCATACATAATACTTCACTTTTTTCAGCATCAAATTTTTAGGTGGAAGAAATTTCCTACATGATTATTTTCAAATTATGTATCTGTTTGTTGTTGACAATTTATCTGTTATTCAGCTATTCTTATGTTCCAAAACCAAATTGATAATATATTTTAAAGATTTGAACAGATATTGTATGGAGAGAGAAAGTTATGAATTCTAAAACTTGAAGATTACTTAAAACTGTTCATTATTTATTTAGTTGACTAGTGTTTATTTACAAATAATGTAGCTTGATGTAGAATTAATATCTGCTAAATTCTGGAAACTTTCCTATCAGTAATTGTATCTTTTTTAAAAGATAATTAACAATATATCTACCTCATCAATTTAAAAAAGTATGTATTTGGCTACTTTTACCCTTGTATTTCTATTTCCTCTAATTTTCATTATAATTACAATGTTTTTCTAAACGTTTATTTAATTTTTTAAAAATTCACTTAATGATAAATGTTATTACATTAAATTGTTCTAACTGGAAGAATAAAAAACGACCCATTTTCTTTCAAATAAAGAAAATATTTTTTAAAGTATACTTTTGTGGGCAATTCGACTGGTTGCTCAAAATTTAAATTTATTTGTCTGCGATCCATCATGTTCCAATGAAACTAATAGAATCAAGCATAAAGTACATTCTCAATAGTAGGATATATTATTATGATTAACCTGTCCTAACCTTTAAAATATCTGCTCTATCAAAATTTAAAAATTGTTATAGTTTAAAATTTTATTGCCTTAACAATGAAATATTTTTATATAAAAAATTGATAAAATCATTGACTGAAATAAATGAAATTGTCAAATTTAAATTAGATTAAGACGATAATGACGATAATGCCCTCAGAATATCTTGGGAGAGCCCAGTTCCATTAACCGTTCTTATTTCCGTGTTGAGAGTATCCAACAAATTCATTATTGTTATCTCTGTCAGCCCAATAAAGAAACAAGAGATTGTTTCTTTACTTCCAAGAGATTGAAGACGGTTCGTCTGTAGTCCTGAATTAAGACATAGAACGTGATCGATAAATTCTATCTCTTTATCATAGTAACTACTACACAATTCACTTGTCACCGTTGAAATAGCGATGCAATAGCAAAATTTTTTGTTAGTATTTGAGTAAATACACGATGTGAAGATTTTCTGAAACCCAAAAGGTTTTCCTATCGAATGTTGATCATAATATCCTAATAATCATACAGCATTCACGATTAGTATACAAGCAGATTGTCACTACGATGATAAATACTTCTACGTAGGATGCCTTTTAAGTTCTGCGCCTAGACAACTTTAAGTATTGCCAGATGAATTTTGGCACTTCTATTCGATAATTTGACATTTCTTAGCATAGATATCATTAGAACAATTTAGTCACCGAGCGTTTATTGTGTTATTTAGATTGATTGTAAATTGTGTTTCTGCGAAAACATGTAATTAAATAATGTACATTTTCTTGCGATGATTATTTATGACTTTCGACGCAAATTAACCACAAAAAATGCATTGATTAATTTAGTTCGACATTTGATGATGAAACACCACATCCAGCGACTGTAAAGTTCAAGCTGGTCGTTGTTCTCTCAACGACAAATTTTCCAAGAGGAAAAGAGGTTTTCCAAGATCGGTTGATGTACCAGAAAACATCGATCCTTGGACATTGGTGGGACCAGCATACATATAATTTTACATATACATTCAGCTATCAAAAACACTTGTTCCCATTGGATTCTTCATAATTTGACAATCGCTCAAAGGAAGGCATGTATTGATTGGTACAGGAAAATGCTGAAAAAATACGGCCTTTATAGTTCAATAATCATGGATCTACGCCTATGAGCTCGAATCAAAACAGCAATCCAATGTTTACATCTTTCAAGGTTAGCAAAACCCGACAAAAGTTGTCGGTGGACGAACCATATCCAAGGAATCAGTCGCATGTTTGTTCAGAAAAACCGATCACGTCACAACTATATCATTTGAACAACGTAGAACGGTCAGAGTTTTTTAACACTTAAAAACGTCGAATTGATGGGTCATCTGCCTTACAGTCCCGACTTGGTGCCCAATGAGTTCTTCTTGTTCCCAAAGAACAAGAAAAAATTAATACCGGGCATTTTCACCTCCTATATTCCCATAGTTCAAAGCACTTTTAGCTGCTGTGAGAAATATTTTGGTTCTTCTTTAGACGCAGTACCATAAAAATTACGAAGCCTCATCTGTCTTACATAACAAGTGTAGTCCCTTCTTTAATGTCTCTCCTTCAGTTTAACTTTGAATCAAGGATAACGACAATATATTAGGCTTCCAAGGAAAGATTCAGGACCATTCCATTCAGAATTGGCAAGAGGAACTATGGTACTTACGTATTCCATGTGAATAGAAATCTAAGATCTAAGAGTCAAATCTAAGAGTCAAAGAAGAGATGACAATAACTCTCCTTGTGGTGTGTCTCTTATAGTTCCCTTGCTCACAGAATCTGTTCACATAGTAACGTTGATGATTTTGCTACTAAGTATTGTGCTTACCCATGCTGCCATAAAACCTTCCACTTCATTTTCCCATAGTTATTTTAATTTTACTTCTGTCAAAGTCTTAATAATAATATTTTTACATAAATTTGCGAATTTGTTCTTTTTAGCAGTGGCGAAGCTAGACAAACTCTGCACGTCGGCGACATCAGAATTGCGAGGCCCCCTTTATAACCCAGTTGTAAAAGTAAATAAGTTACATTCACTAATACGACAAAGCATGATTGAAAGTTTTATTGCTAATCAATTTAAAAGAATCAATAAACACAAATTAAAATAAATGAATTTTTCTTCTTTTAGTATCACTCAATTTTTTTTTAAATTATATCATAATGAAGATAGTCTCTCTTTGACCATCATACTTTTCTAGTACGTCTTAAACAATTTTAACTTTACTTCTTTCTTTTCGTCGAAGCTATACTGACTGGAACTGTGAACATGAATCTGATTACTATATAAACATTCGGAGATACTTCGAATATGGTTAATGCCATTATCAAACCAAATTGTTCAAAATATTTTTTAAGTGCTTAGAATCCACAGTTGGTAACTTTTTGCGAGGCCCCTGCGGGCGCGAGGCCGTCGGCGATCGCCGACATCGCTGACGTCTAGCGACGCCACTGCTTTTTAGAGTATTTATCAAAGATTTTCAATAAAAATTTAAGAATCACTGTCTCGAAATTTTAGAACTTTTGGCCAATGAAATTGATCTTAAACCACTGTGCTGCGTTGATTTACCTAAAGGAGGACCAATCCAACAATGGTCCATTTTAAATGTATGATCAAGACTAAGATATTTTCTTAAAAAAATTGAAACCGCATGTCACTTTTGCCTCCTCCCTCGGTACGTCCATAGTTACATAGCAACAAACATTTTGTAGAGAAACCGACAAACCATGTCTATTTTCAAGTTATCCTTACACAGCTTTGTATACATTTAGACTCTTGCTGTCTTATAAGTTATTATTGTAGATTAACTTATTTAGATTTAGATTTAGATATTTCCTGGTAAAGATTTCAGCTAATCATTTCTAGTTGTAAGAGTACGAAGTATGAAGTATACAATTGTTTAATAAAGTAATTGCTTTACTGGTATCACAGTCAAATTTTATTAATTTTTCTAAGTAAACTGCAGTGTGTCTGGTTAATTGAGTAAATGTTCTAGTTCAAGCTTTTGATATCCAATTGAATTGCTTCTTTGTATGACAGTTTATTTTCATTTAGTTTAATCTGTAGATACGAACGGTATTGCATCGGCTATAGCAAAGCATACCTTTACTTAAATGTTTTATTATCTTTGTTATTATTGTATTTATTTAGTGTTTTTAAAAGAAATTTCAGCATTTGAATCATGGTAAATACATTTTCTTTAGATATTTATTTATAACATACCTTTTACTCATACTATATGTTGTTTTCAGTAATAGCGAAGAAGTTCATGCGATAATTCTTGCAAGAGGAGGTTCTAAGGGAATAAAAAAAAAGAATTTACTTAAATTCGGTGACTATTCCTTATTAGCACGGACCATTCTAACCATTAAACGAACTAAATTATTTGAGAACATTTGGATCTCAACTAATGATGATAATATTGAAATCGAAGGTCTAAAATGTAAGGAAATAGTTTTAGGAATAAATTCTAAACTATTAAAAATGATTTCATTCTGGTAAATGTTAAAATGTTGTAATGTCTGTTTTATTGTGTTAATAACTTATTAAGAAATAAATCGAAACTCTTCATACTTATAACCTAAATAAATTAGTTTCTAGAATAGACGTCAGTAATAATTCCAAGTGTCTTTTCAGATGGTGCCATTGTCCATAGAAGAGCAGAAATATTTGCACAAGACAATAGCTCTTCAATTGATGCTGTGAAGGAGTTCCTTTCCAAATACAACACAGTAAACAAATTCGCACTCTTTCAATGTACATCTATATTTTTAAAGGAGCATTACATTAGGCAAGCTTTCGAAATATTTAAGCTTACTGACTGCGTTTTTGCAGTTAAGAGGTACAAATTACTACTTCTATGTACATTATATGTAAACATACACGTGATAAAAATATGTTGTGTATATTTCTAGAAGTCATCAATTACGTTGGAAAAGTGAAGGCAATAAGCTGGTACCAATAAATTTTGACCCAGCAAATAGACCACGAAGACAAGATTGGCCTGGTGAACTTATTGAAACAGGAATGTTTTATTTTTCTAGTAGACGTTTAACCGTAGAGAATAAATTTCAAAACGAAAGGTTTTATTTATAATAAAAATTATATATTTTATATAAATTGAAAAATTCTATTTTATAAATTATTATAGATGTGGAGTTGTTGAAGTTAATCATAGGGATTCACTGGAAATTGATGATTATGATGATGTAATTACAGCAAAATGTTTGGTGAAGAAAATTTAACTTAACTTTAAAGTAACTGCAAACAATATTACATAGTGTGGAAAATTTTAAGCTTATTTTCAAAAAAACACGCTATTGAATTTTTTTTGATCTGTGTCCTATGGTGTTAACTGTAATTGTATTTTAATACGTTTATGAAAAAACATTTTGCTTTCTTAAATTAATTACAATAAATATGACTTAATGAAAAGTAATTTTATAACGTTTATAAAATATGTAAACGTATATGCATTATAATTTAGTATGATTTTATTATGTTGATGTTATATAAATAAAGTTATATGTGTTCCTTTATATTCAATAGTCTTATTTACATATTATATGCAACATATATGGGATCTAGCTGATCAGCTAGGAAACCATCGCGTAAGTGCATACGTTGTTTTTCTCCTCTGCTATTAATAGGGACAACTCCTATAATAAAAATAAAAATTATATATAATACATATGCTTCGACAGCAAAATACACATATGTGTTACCTGGGTCCACAACTACTACTACACCAACAATCAATTGATGTTCTTCTAAAACTGTATTTGTTACTAATGGTACTAAATCTAATGCTTCAGATTCATTCCCGTCTAATTCTACAACCACTACAAGTAAATTAGTCCAAGTGAACACAGCGCTATAAATAAATTGCAAAAATTTAAAAGTTATTGTTATAGCATAAGCTGTTATTATTATTGAAAATATATAGTACCTTTCAGCAATTTTTTTATGACATCGTAACACGGAATTCTCTATATCTATTGGATGATAATTCATTCCTCTTAAAGTTATAACTTCATCTAATGCGCCAACAACATATACTGCGTCATGAAGTTCTTGATCGTTTGTTGTTCCAACGGAAGCTTCACTTGGCGGAATACCAGTGGAAAGAGATGAAAAATTTAGTTGCAATTGACTCATAGAGTTAATTGACTCATTATCGCTATCTCGACTTGCAATACTGGGAGTAGTTTCGTCCAAAATAGAAACAGCTTGAGAACACTCAGTACGCCGTAAAAATCCTAAATATCCAGTCCGCGCATATAATTCTGTGGTTGCTCCCGTAACAAGCTTTGCATTGAAATGATCATTGTAATCAGTTTCATCACCATATATTGTAAAATAACCACTAGCGTTATGTGGTGATTGAACCTGTATAACAAACATATCGTATTGAAAATTTTTTGCTCGGTATGATTCCTATTTTCCGGACACCGTCAATAATATAAGCAATATTTTTTACTTCACTATATATTAAACTATATTAATTCTCGAAACATCTGGATTTATTTGGAATATTTACAAAACATGAACATGTAATCAATGTAAAAAGTTTATAGCTTTAAAGCCAGATATATAAGTAGCCTAAATAAATTCCCATATAGCATAATGCAATATTCTATAGCAATATTTAAATGTACTAATATCTATTGTCAATGATTGATGCCCGTCTAATAGGAATCTTCACTTTTTTAAATATATATAAATATTTACTTATATGTAAAAATAATAATAGTTTTTGCATACCCATATTTCTCCTAAATGTGAATCACCACAATGACCCTTTGTATCTGGATTTGCAATTATAGCTTTAACACCAGGTAAAAGTTTACCCGATTCAATCAAACAAAGAGAATTTGGTGCTCCGCGCTCAACAAGAGCCACTCTGTTATTTCTTAAAGCTCTAAGATCAACATACACTTGTGCGCTTTCTGCGGAACTTGCACCCTGTACACAAATAGCTGGATTTACGCGACAGCCAAAAGAAGTGGATACACATCGCGTATTCAAGCCCAAAGCTTGAAATAATTTACAAAATTGCTGTGTCAATTGAATTCGAGGTCTTTCTTCTGCTACAACAACGCACGTACGAACACATCTTAAATCTATATTTCTCTGTTTTAACATTGGAATGGAATTGCTTAAAGCTTTTGTGCACAGTTCTATTACGCCATAGGAGCAGAAAGTATCACGAACTCGATGTTGAGATAATGTTGAAAGCCATAAACTTGGATTCGCTTCCACCTCATATGGAGCGATTAAAATTGAATGATGTCCACTATAAACTCCAATTAGTGTCCACATTGCAAAACCTAAACCGCAGTATGGATCTAAGCATAATGCTACATGTCGAGATGGATATAATTCACAAGCTAATTTTAAACTAGCGCATAGACTAGATAGTGATCTGTAAAAAATAATATAAAATATATACAATGTATGTACTTACTTTTTTAATTATTATTTTTGTAAGATTTTACCTATGTGTTATGTTCACCCCACTCAAACGACCGCAAGTTGAAACGCTAAAATCTAAATATGCCGTTGAATCTAAAGTTGCGTTCGCAATAGAAGTTATTTTACGTTTCGGATTGTCATCGATGTCTAAAATAGGAGGCCACGTTTTCGGATCTATGGAAGCAGCAGCTTCTCTTGATTTTAAAAGTTTAATAATAGGTTGAATAGACAGAACTATTCCACTTTTTGAAACATCTACGATCATTCTCACAGTAGGCAGTGTTGTAATTAGATTTTGTGGATGTGGAGGCCGAATAGTTATAGGTATTGCAGCTAAATATAAGCATCCATAAAATGCACACAACAAGTCCAAACCGGGGGGAAATATTAAAGCTGGAAATTATATAAACATCAGTTTAATATTTTCTATGTTTAATTGAATTAATTATGATTATTTTACCAACATGATCCCCGGGCTCAATTTTGCCCCGTTCTTGCAAAAGTGCTGCAATCTTTTCAGCTCTTTTATGTAGTTCTGAGCATGTTAAAGTTTTAGCAATAGCTCCTATTTGTTAATTCAAAATAATAACATTATTTGATTTTTAAAAATAATTTAAATTCTTATACAAAACCTTTGGAGTTGAGTAATGTGAATAGAACATGGTCTGGAGATGTATTTGCCCTCCAGCGAAGCACACCAGTTATTAATTGATGCTGAATTTGAATTTATATTAATATATAGTTTTTTAATTAAGCATACATTTATTTATACATGACCAAATATAATAAGTACCTTGCGTTCACTATCTTCCGACATCCCAATATCACGACCTTGAGCAACTGCCAAACGGTTTCCCTGAACTAAATTCCCAACCATCACAGAGGCTGGTCCCACAGAAGTGTCTGTAATACCACATCCAATTGAGCTTTTTTTTGCAGTTGATTGTACACCTTTTTTGATGTTAGTATTACATGTTTTTATATATTTAACCAATTTGATTATTAGGATTCAGAGTAAGATTTTCATTTTGTTCAAACATCGTTAGTGTAAAATTATTTAAGAATTATTAATTTCAAAGTGTGTATTAAAGTTCAAATGTGTGAATTGGGTTTCAAATGTTTTCATCGATCAAGTAACAGCAGCAATATGAAGAAAAGAAAAGAATTTTATGATATGTGTAAAGAGTTTTCTGTTTAAGTTGTGTTTTGTTTATGATATGAATATAATTAGTTGAGTAATGGAAATGAATATGAAAATGAAAATTTTTTTGTGAAAATAAAATTTTGTATTTAACGTCAAGAAGAGAAAAGTGATTAGTGAAATGCGTATTTATTTTATAGCTTACACATTATAAACAATAATTGAATTATAGTAATCTCTGTTTCAAGTAAAATGATTGTTTAAATAATTACAATTGTAAATAAAGAGCCGGAAGTTTAATAACATCTGAATTAATATTAATTAAAGAATATACCTATATATTTAAATACAATATCTATATAAATATATTTGATTTTTTAAAAAACTAACACGATTTTAAGATTTTTATTATTATTAATTAGTACGATTAAGTATATATACTAATTTCAATATATTACTATTTCTCTTACCTTGATGTATCTCTCTAGGCTTTGGTAAATTTGTAACACATGTATGAGGACACATAAGAACATTTGCTGGATGAAGGGTTCCTTCCAAAAATCTGCGTCTTGCTTCGCACAAATGTATACCACCTAAAGGGGTTTTTGGCAAATGATTCGGCGGTACAAGAGCTAAACAATAGATTCCCACTTGATGTATGGAATCAACTGCTTGCAAAACTCTTGACATCCATTGAAAACTTTCTTCTTCAGAACAGTCGGGTCTTTGTTCTGCAATAACGCAAACACGTTCGTCTCTTAAAACTTTGATACTAAAAACTGCTATTCGCCCTCTGTATATAAATCGCATTGGCTCTACAGCTAAAACTGTAGCAATTATATCATCAGCATTATGTTTTCTTCCTGTAACCGTCATAAGCCCATCGCGAGAACCACACACAAACACAAGCCCACCGGGTCCCAAAAATCCTAGCAAACCTGATCGAACATAATATTCATCGCTAATGGGTTTTATAGAAGAACCATCCTTAATTATTTCAGGATCTTCAGGTAACGGTTGTACTTTAAAAGTTGTATTTGTAAGACCCTCTAAACCGAAGTAACTTGATCCAGTAGATCCACTCGTAACACATATTTCACCAACTTGATCTGTTTTGCATAATACTGGTATTCCCTCAGATCGCACTACAACCATTTGGGCAGCAGGCATTACTTGCCCGCAATCTTGTAGTGTTAAAGATGTTAACGAATCTTCACTATCAACTCGGACAACTCCATGTGACAATGCTGCCATTGAAAGTACACCCCTGCCAGTAGCAGATTGACTAAATCCACTTGCTGAACGACCAGGACGTCGTAAAGAAACTGTAAAAACTTCTGAACTACTTGCACATGGGCAAATTGCATCAGATCGGAGACCTTTCGATGAGAAAACACTAAGAAATTGATCACACGATGACAACGACCAAGGATTAGCACCATCAGCAACTAGCAACATTCGCAAAGATGACAATGATATATCTTTATGATCTTTGGTTGCTAGTAAGCCCCAATGGAGATCTCTGCTTTTTGCTAAACAGCAAGATGCTCTATGTTTTGTTATGAGTTGCATCCATGAAGATGGTCGAAGCTTCATTAGTGCATAAGGTATAAACAGCACGTGCATACCATTTAATACAGACGTAAGAACAGCATGCCACAAACCCACTTCACGTTTAAAATCCAACACACATACAACGGTTTCACCTTCCGTATAATGACAAGCCATAGTTAGTGCTCGACAATGGTTCATCATTGCTAATCTGGTAACAGTAACACCTTAAAATATTATGTAGTATTAAGTATTTTTTATTTAAATAAAGATATATTTTTATAACATTCTCACCCATAACACTCCCTTCTTTATCAGTAGTATATTCGATGTAAGCAGTTGCCGAATCTTCTATGCGAACATTACCAACGTTAAAATCTTTTGGTGGTTTTGGCAAATGTTCTGTAACAAACCATTGGAGTCGAGGCCATCCCTTTAGTTTTGCTATTTCGCCAGTTGTTGACTTTGGTAACCCTTTTAAACAAGCTTCAGATGTTAGAGCAACCGTAATACCACAAGAACTGAGTAAAAATCCAACTTGCTGTGGTGGTGTGTCGGAACTCGATAGTGGTAGTTCTATTGGAAGAGGTACCAAGCCACGAAACATACATCCATACCAAGCAGTTATAAAACTATTTTAAAAAATGGTATTTATGAGTCTCATAATCAAAATTATATTCACAAAATATTGAAATATAATTTCAAAAAATCAGTTTATGACTTTATATAATTAACAAATATTTACCCATACAAAACAGATTTATTTTGCATTTTTAAAACTACCTTAGTGGATCGTTGTTAGGATATACGAGAGCAACACGATCTCCTGGTTTTAATGTTATTTGTTCAGGACCTTTACTAAATATTTTAGTCGACAAAGCATAAGCAACCTTTTGCGCCCTGGACAATAATTTTCCATAGGTTAATGTGGTGGTTATTTTTCCATTTGGATCTAAAACCGTTGCCATTGGAGATTTAAAAGAATTTGTACCAAACCGTTGTAATGCTGCTTCTAATGATCTAGGTAAACCTGCTGCAACTGCTAATTGTTCACCTTGAACCGGCGTCATAGTACTTCCTTCAGGTTTAGGAGCATTTGGATCTTTAGGGTTTGCGGCAATTTCTAGTTCAATATCGTTGTCTTCATAAAACTCGGGTAGTGGTCGCCTTTTCGGACGTTTGAGAGTATTCAAAAGCTGTTGAATTTTAGCTGATACTTTCCATCTTCCATTAGTATCAGAATCACTAATATCAGTATGTGACACATTTACATATCTTGTTACTCGATCAGCAGCACGTCTAGTATTATTAAATTGAGTTATATCAGGAGCAACGTCTGAAATCATATCCGAATAATTTTTTTTCAGTTTTATATTATAAAAATTTTATTACTAGAAAAATATATATGAAAAAAAAAAAAATTATTTACTTAAATATTTTTCTGATATTAAAAAATAATTATATATAGTTACAAGGTTTTGGCATATCCGAACTGTTGGTAAAGTCACAAGACTCCTTCTTGTATGCTGTTATCGGTGACTCAGTACTTGAAGTATCAGAAGTTGGCTACAATTAAATTATTTTAAATAATTCTTATTTAAGTTTGTACATACTTACCAATGGTGGCAAATTTTGGGGAGGCCGGCGTTCTGGATATTTGTTTTTGTGTACAGAACCGCCCATAGAGGAGTCACGAATTGGTGGTTTGATAACTGACTCAGTCATATTATTTATATGATCTTGTGGATAATTATATTCTTTATCAGGAGAAATAATTTCTTCTGGTATAGATTCGTCATCAGTTGTTGAGTCTAATAATAAAAAAAAAACTGATATAACAAAGTCCACAAGATTTTTTACCTTGTATTACCTGTATCATTTGCGCGATCAGGACTTCTATTCAATACAGAACTTCTTTTAGATGGCATAGGGAGACTTGGTTTGGGACGACATTTTAAAGCAGCCAACGCTTGTTGAACAGCTTCCTGACGTACTTCTATATGAAATTGTTTTACAAAATGTAATTATATTAAAAACACTTATTAATAATACCAGAGTGGTAACGTTTTTCATTATGTGTAATTTTACGTTGTGTTCGACGTTGCCGGCTGTGCTGGTGAACTGGTTCGCCCTGACTTCCTGAAGGATGATGGTAATCAGATTTTTTTGCAGCATTGGAATGTCTTTGATGAGATGATGGCAGGGAAGGAACCTCTGTAACATAGCTATATCCTTCACTGGATACCAAGGCTCCATCCTTAACAGTCTTAATATTTTGTGCATTTGTTTCTTTTATATTATAATAAGGAGGAATCGATTTGTTATTTTTATCATCTTTTGGATCAGCACCTTAAGTAATATAAAAATAATTTTTATCAACTCATCTCTTTATATAAATAAGAAATTAATAAAAAAAATAATAATATTGAAAACTATATATCTATTTAATGTTTTACCTTCGTTGGTTTTAGTTAGAAAAGGTTGAAGTAGTTTAGTTCTCTTTTTCTCATATCCTTTCTGTGTGATATCACCTAAATAAAAGATGTAAAATTAATAGCTGATTGATTTTAAAATATGTATAAAAAAATTTAAATAATTATTAATAGTTTTTCTGAAATTAATTTTTTTTTATTTATATATATATATATAATTTTTTTTTGGATAAAATCAATAATGACGTTAACGGTATATTCATTATTTTTATATGTAGAAGAAAATTACATATTTAAAAAAATTTAATTGAATTAATCTCCCTTTACAATTATTTATTCATTGCAATTACATATTGACTACCTTTTATTCATAGGTTTGAGCGTATCTACAATCAATATAGATTCAATTATATTGTGTAGATGTTCTTGAATTTTAGCAGCAATTTATTATTTGCGTTAATCTATTTAATGAAATACAATAGAATTAATCAATGATAAAAATTTCAAATAAAAGCTATTGGTGCTACAAAAAGAATGATGTCCTAACTACTATGTACCCACCTTTTAAATTGTTTTTTTTTTTTACTTTAACTTGAGTTTTGATTTAGATTATAGTTTTGATTTTGCCCTAAGATTACAAATATTCATTAATTGAAGCTTACAATACCTTCTGATAACTCCAAATCTAATTCGGCTAATTTTTCGCGAACATCCAGAGGAAGCGACAAATTTTCAACACCACCCAAATTCACAGACATTTTCAGTAATATATTTCTACCCGCTTTGCCAACACAAAACTACGACGAACCTATAAAACTTAGTTTATTTTATTCAATTAAGTTAAAATATGTTTATCTCGCAAGCATTATAAAGAACGATTTTATCACTTTAACGAACTCTACATAATACAAATCGCCAATTAATTTCTATTTAACTAATTTTGCAAAACGTCGAATGGTGACATTCTTCAAGAAGTATGTATGTATAGAAAATAAAAATCAGAAGAAAGGGAACAAGAAATCGAAACGAATATGGAGAAATTCAAAACAACAGCACTATAGAAACAAAATAAAACTGAAATATTATAATGACATTTCATGTTTTAGGGAACAAAATTTACGATATGAGATAATCGTATCATCATAAAATGGTATTCCAGTTAAATATTTTATTTACTAAAGAAAATTACGGACAGACACTTTTCACAAGAAAGTACTTAAACGGCACTCTTCTGTTACTGAAAACTCAAACGAAATACCTTGAAGTGATTCTGGATAGCAAACTGACGTGGAAGCCCAATGTAGAGGATCGGGTAAAGAAAGCAACAAATGCTTTATATGCATGTAAAAGAATGCTTGGAAGTACATGGGGCCTCTCACCCGCTGTTATGTATTGGTGCTACACGGCCATAATTAGACTTATACTACTTTACGATATATTAGTTTGGTGGAGTTGTTTAATCACAGATTTCCCATACAAAAGTTAATCTCCTTTTAATTTTTTATCTCCTTAGAAATGGTAATTATTTTTCTATACAACTCTGCGTATGGGTTAAATCGTAGATTTTTTTACGATCTTAGAAGAATTGGAAAAAAAAACAAAATCTATTTACAACAAACATTGAAAATTTGAAAATACCAATGTGAGTAAATTTTTAATAAACTTGTTTAATAATAGTTTAGTATATAATTATAACTAAAATTTGTTAAATTATTGTTATAAAACTATTTAATAAATTTATAATACAACTTTTTGTAGAAAATTGTGATTAAATATTTTATTTACAGAAATTTATCAAACATGTATAAGAGATGACTGCATGTTGCGACATACAAATATACAAATTAAAATTTTAAAATTTTTATTATATAATAAAAAATAACATTATTTTGTTTAGAAATTTAATATTTATAATTGAATTATACAACGTTTACATTGCGAGATTAAGTATACGATTTAATTTACATTATATATTGAAGATTTTTTTTGACGTTTCTGTTGTTATGGTTTGTTTCGTGTGTTTGATAAATTTCTGTAAATAAAACAATTAATTACAATTTTGTACAAAAAAATTGTAATATAAATTTAATAAATAGTTTCATAACAATAATTAAACAAATTTTAGTTACAATTATATACAAAACTATTATTAAACAAATTTATTAAACATTTACTCACTTCGGCATTTTCAAAATTTATTCGTTTTGAATACATTTTGACATAATATTGTACAAAATAGAAATATTTATAACCCAAATTTTTTGAAATTACATTTCGTGTATTTGTTATAGATTTGAAAATACATAATACATACCATTATATAAATGAAAAACTGAAGGTCCTGGTAGCTAGCTTAGTTATAAAATTTTATATTTTGTAATTAATTATAAAAAAATAAAAAGAAATATCCACATATATTTAATATACTTATAATTTCACATATATGCATAGATATGTTTATATATAAATAATACCTACATACACATCACATAATATAAATTATTGCTTTTGTGCTGGCATTTAAATATTATTTCATAACTATTATATATTATTTTTTTTCGTCACTTGCTAATTTAAAGCGTACAATAACGTTAATAACGTTTATATAATTAAATAAATTATTTTAATATTATTTAAACTTAAAATGTTTTATTTATTATATAAAAGATATTCAAAATCGCCCGACCAAACCAAATACTTATAAACATTTGAAGTTGATAGAGAAACTTATAAAAATATACATATTTTTATGCTAAATTTCATTTAACTGAAACCAGGTTTTATAATTTTAAGTATCTAATATAGATTATTCATATTTTATTACGCTGTTATCCAAAGAAATACAACGTATATATCAACCCTCTTCATCCTTAATACTTTAAATAATTCCAAAACATTCTGGCATCACTAAAATAAAGGCTGCACATGTATAAGTGAGTCTTTTCACATATATGAGTCGCTTTCCATTGTATACAGTTTTTGTATAGTCGCTTGAATTTGTATCCCAGATAAAGTTTGGAATTTGAGTAGTGCGGTACGTTTGGGTAACTGTGAATTGTTTGATCTTGAAGAAAGAATTTGTGTGGTGTTAAGTGTTATTAATAAAATTTCTTTAAAAAAATGGCATCGGAAGTAAGTCAGGAAGTCCCATCCACCGAAAATAAGGTTGTTGAAGAATCTGAAACAGTTGCATCAGCAGTGACCACAGAGGGAGGAGCAAGCGACAAACCTACAGAGAATGTTGAAGCCGCCACCGATAACGCCCAAGAAAAATCCGTTGAAGATACAAAGAAGGATAGTGAGAATGCAACATTAACAAATAATAAATCTGAACCAGCACCAAAATTTTGTGTGCATAAAACGAATTTTGAAAAGGATGTAATTTATTTATACCAATTTTCACGGACTCCATTATTACCCTCATTATCACCATATTGTTTAAAAGTAGAAACTTGGCTTCGTTTAGCCGGGCTCAAATATGAGGTAAAAATTTAATTATTTTAACAAAATTGCAAAAAAAAAAAAATTGATGAAATAGAAGTACTTAAAAATCGCCATATTGGGGTTTTAATCTCCTTTGTGAATATATTCCTTTCTATTCCTTTTTGTACTTCCAATTTCCAGTGTATTTTTTGAGCATGTGTGCGTTTTATGAAAAATCACAAAGAATTCCTTATCGTTGTAACTGTATACATATTTTTTTCACTTAAAAACTTGTTTGCTTAGGACACTGAGAGTATGAGTCAAATTAAATATTGAGTGGACGCTAAATGCATTTGTGGTGCTAAAATATTATGTATTGTAGTAAAGTGAAAGAGTAAATCAAATAATATACATATATATTCTTTTCTCTTTATTCTTATATCGATTTCAATTTGAATAGGGCATATTATATACAACTTTTAAAAGTAGGGATCATCATTGAATATTATATTTAGACTGTAAATACTCATTATTTTTCGATGTGTGAATAATTAAAGGCAGCAATTTAAATATTTTTTTAAATTAATTAAAAATTTCTGTAGCGAGTCAATTTTCAAGATTGAGCGAGACTCAAGATTTACTGTACTAATAATTGAAAATCACATTATATATATATACATACAATAGAAAATTGAAATAATTTTAATTTAAATACATATTAACACAATAGATTTAAAAAACTATTGTATGTACCCCTTTGAAAGTTTTTCTTGTGGGATTTGTTTCCCTTGAGTTATTTCTATATGAATCTCTTAACTCTGTATTGCGCCAATTTTAGGTATAATATTCTCATTTAATAAAATATATACTTCATTTAATATTATTAATAAAATTATGAAATTATGTATTCAAGTAATACAAAAGGGATAAGTTATAGTATCTGCATTATAGTAAATTGGAATTGATTGATCATAAGGGTGTGGAATTTTAAGAAAAAAAAATTAATTTAAGTTTACTCAATTTGCGAAGAGTTGTTTGTTTGGTGTGTGTAAGAAATACATTGCGCGTGTACAGTGTTTTATTTTCTCTCAAAACTTTTCCAATGAGGTATTTAAGTGGAAGAGTGGAAATTTTGAGAAAATGAACTTGTCTTCTAGCTGCTCGACTTGCCTGCCGCATTTATTAATTGGCGCATATTTGTGTTATCAAGTTTTGAACAAAGAATGCAGTTGTTAAGTCGTTGTTTACTGCAGGAGGGTGTGGACTCCATTAATCGCTGCACATTATAAACAAAGAGTAATGATATGACTTGATAATGCTTTTGCGCTTATTGACATAATAATTTAATCAAGTGTAAACACTTCTATGTTAGCTTTTAAATAAGCGATATTTAAAATATTGTTTTGTTTAAGTGTGCTTCACTGGAAATTAATGGCCCCACCCTATTGCATTCAATTGAATGCATCTGGAATAAGATTAAAGCACCAACCACACCCATATGCCAATTATTAAAAACTATGAACAACATGTTGCGGATTATGACTATCTCTTAAATTAACAACACATGCCTGTAATATATTAAATATATTAATCAGCGCTTTTTTATAATGATTTTTTTTTCATCTTTAAACATTCATATAAATTGTAAATAATTTAATTTTTTTTTAAATTTTTAATGATTCTATTGAATTTATTTTATTTTCTTTTTATAAAATACTTACATTTTTTTTAATACAAAATAATTATAATATTTATTTCGTTAGGAAATTTATTTAATAAATGTAAACATTGTACATATATTTATAATAAATATACGCATTTTGAAACTTGGTTGTTTTTTTTTTTCTGTAGAATGTTGATCATAAGATGCGTTTCCGTTCAAAGAAAGGACAACTTCCCTTTATTGAGCTTAATGGTGAGGAAATTGCTGACTCAGCAATTATTATTAAGGAGCTGTCAGCCAGATATGAAAAGAATTTAGATGCTGGATTAACTTCCGAACAACGAAATGTCTCATACGCAATGATTGCTATGTTAGAGAATCATCTAATTTGGATTATATTTTACTGGCGTGCTAAATATCCCGATAATGTTTTGAAGGGATATAAAGTAAACTTGCAACACGCACTCGGATTGCGTTTACCAAATTCTATTTTAAATTTCTTCTTTAAAATAACTTTTGGTAGAAAGGTATTAAAAATGTTTTATTTTATTATATTATTTTATATAAATGCTTTGCTTTTTAAATAACTGCATACATATGCTATTATATAAAGCAGCAGGTCTTTATAAATACTTTTTTTATATTTTATTTTATTTTTCTGAAGTTTTACAATTTATTTGCAAAACATTTTTTATTTGTTTATTTGTTTATTTGTCTGTTGTAAACAACAAAAAGTAGCTACATAAGGAATAATCATCACGCTTTCAATGTAAAAACAATCCTATCAAAGTGACTTAAATGCATTAGTTTATTATTTTAAGATTGCACGCTTTATTATGCTTCTTGTGGTTATTCCTTAAAGATATTAGTTTTTGTTGTTTATAAATAATATATTTCCTAAATTGCTTTGGCAATTTTTTCATAATTAGTGGTTCCAGGGTACAAAGAAGTTGAAGGCCCATGGAATTGGTGTGCACAGTGCTGAAGAAATTGAAGAGTTCGGTAAAAATGATTTAAAAGTACTAAGTGAGATGTTGGATTGTAAACCATTCTTCTTTGGAGACGAACCAACCACTTTGGATGTCGTGGCATTTGCAGTATTATCTCAACTTCATTATTTGTCCAAGGACATTACTTATCCACTTCGTGATTTTATGACTGAAAAGTGTCCAAATTTGGTTGGACATGTTTCGCGAATGAAGGAGAAATGCTTCCCTGATTGGGATGAAATTTGCACAAAATTAGATCTAAATGCTCATATTCCAAAGCCAGAGTAAGATATTATTATTGTACATCGCACGAAATATTATTTCAATATACTTATAGGCCAGAGAACAAGGAGGGCAAGGAGGGTGAATTAGAAAAGTCAAATGAACAAGACACTGAAGCTGATAAAATCGAAAAGGAATTGGAAAAGGATAAGGTAAAACTTTAATTCTATTACTTGCTCTTAATTTCTATTTATTAATTAAAATATAAATTTAATTATTATTTAATTCTCTTTCATAAATTTGAACGAGAAATACCAAGTGTACCAAGTTCAAATATATTCTTTGGAATATATAAAAAATAATTATATATTATAAGTAATTTAAAAATATTTTAATTTATATTTGTCTTTTGTAGTCAAATGAGAAAGAAATAGCAGAAGAAAATAAAGAGAAAGAGGAAGCAAAATAAGTATAATATAAACCTAGGACAACTGTAAAGGACATGCATTTATTAACTCAAAGTATAATACAATAAATTTGGAAACCTTTTTATAAATTACATTAGCATAAAAATATTAAAAATTATATACATAAGAGATTTATAATTAGTTAAAGCAAAAAACTTCTGACGATGAAATATTGTTTCATAAAAAGTTTTAATTTATATTGATAAAAAAATGATATTATTTACTTCCAATTGCTTAACTTAATTATACAAGATATATTGAGAAAAGGTAAATAAATATACGAGTAATTAAGATTATTTTTATATATAATAGTTTATGTGCAAATATTAATAATTAATATTTTAAAATAACTACGTTTTGTTTTAAATTTTTGTTAGTTGAAAGGCTTTGCTTATTATTGTATTAATTCTAGTTGATTTTACCTAAATACTCAAAATTTAAAAACCAAAAATTTAAGATATAAACGGATAAATCTGATTCACTTTTTCATTAAATATATATATATATTATCAGTATATATATAATATATATATATATATTGATTGTCCATTTAATTCAAATGACCATTGTCGATTTATTTATAATGCGTACTCATATGAAACATTAAAAACTACATTGTACGAGAACTTTTGAGTAGTACACCGATAATATTTTCATCATCACAAAATTATTGTAGAATATTCAAGTATTTTTATGTATTATGTATTTAAAGTTATGTTGTGTAAGTTTTTACCACAATATTTCTATTGTAGCTCAGTGTTTTATATAATGAACATATATATATACATATATATATAACATACATCTTATATAATAATAAATATGCTTCTTAATATACTGACTTTTAATCAATTTAAAAATATTAAGAGAATACAGTACCAATTATCTTTTAACAACCTTTAGCAATTGAAAGAGTATTATTTAGTTGATTATTATGTAATTTTTCTGGTAGTTTTAGTTTGTAACAGATAGATTAAAATCGCTACGTTTATTTCAAAAATATGGGAAAATAAAGGTTAAATTTAAAGCAAATTTAATTTAACTTTGAAATCTGAATTTATTAATTAAAGGTTTTATCGAATCCTTTATATACAGTGTTGTGCATAACAAAAGCAACCAAAATTTGTCCATCAAATAAATAAGTTTTTTGTCTACTTTTTACTTTTCATTCAAAAACTTAAATATACAGTTTTATTTGTTATTGTATTAGCTATTATAAAAAAACAACAAAATCTACAATTCTTCATAACGGGTTAAATAATTCACAAAAATAATGAGATATTGCGAAATGCGGCTGTGCAGAACAATAGCAACTTTATTTATTATATTAAATTTTTGTATTATTTTTCTAAATTTTGTATAAAGCCCTTTGCTTTTTATTACTTGGGCACTTCTACGGGTCATAGGTGATATTAAATTGTTAATAAAACTATTTGGAATTTCATACCATTCATATTTCATGACCTCAAACATTTGGAAACTTTTCGACCCCCAAAGCGACGTTTGAGAATACCAAAATGTTCTCAATTGAATTAATATCAGGTGTTTGGGCTGGCTAATCTAAAATTGGAATTCCATTTTGCAAAATCCATTCTCTTATCAGCTTTAAGGTGTGTTTTGGGTCGTTATCGTACTGATATACCCGTTGGAGTGACATTTCTCATCAACCATGGGGTACCATATGGCTTTCTAAATTTTTTTCGTACACATGTTGGGCTATTATTTGATGAATTTCATGAAAAGGTCCAAGTCTAAATCCTGAGAAGCACCCCCAAATCATTACTGACCCATCCCCATGCTTCACCGTCGCATGCCAGTTACGCGGATATAAACGTTTTTTTTTTCGCGACGTACTGTGCGCATCCTATCAGATTTAGAGATATTTAATTTCGATTTATTGCTGAGAAAAACTGTTTTCCATTTAACAAGTATTCAATTTTAGTGATATCGTTCAAAATTAATATTAATATTATTTCATATTAATATTAATTAGAGCAAAACAAAAAATCTAGTTCTTTTGCAAATGCTATTTAGTTAACTTTGGATTTTTGACTGGTTTGTAACTTTTGAAATCTGCTTCAAGAGTACGTCTGCGTACAATATTTGAGCCCACATATAGTTTAAGCTCATCTACGATCTTTTTCGACGAAATGAATGCTTTTTTTTTGTAATTCATATGATTTTTCGATCAATTCTATGAGTAGTCTATGAGTACAAGGGGCTTCACCCAAATAAACCGTTTTAACGGTATTTTGTCAAATTATATTTTTTTATAAGCTGCGAAACAATAAACTAATTAATTTTAAATATTTTGACTATTTCATTTGAGCACTGCCATTTAAATATTTTTCAATTCTTGCTTCTTTTAACTTCAAAGTATACGTGTCACGAGCCATGATAAAAACGTACTTCCATTACCTGATTTAATATTGAACTATTCTGTGTTTATGTTCTAATTTGCTTAAAAACATAAATCACAGCATAAAAATGCAAAAAATCCAAAAAATATCTTGTTAGAATGCACTTTGGTAATAGATCTATCATTGATCTTGTCTCAGTTGCTATTGTTTTGCACAGCCGCATTTCGCAATATTTTATTATTTGTGTGAATTTATTAACCCGTTATGAAGAATTGTAGATTTTGTTGTTTTTTTATAATAGCTAATACAATAACAAATAAAAATGTGTATTTAGATTTTTGAATGAAAAGTAAAAAGTAGACAAAAAACTTATTTATTTGATGGGCAAATTTTGGTTGCTTTTGTTATGCACAACACTGTATATATACACATAGTAGAAAAAGTGTGCGTCCACCCACAAAACTTTTCTTAAATTTCGCATAACTAATTTGATTTTTACTGAAATTGAGATCTGTTTTTTGATTTATTTTAACCAAAAAAAAAACAACAATGAAGTTCAAACATAAAAAATTAATAATTATTCTTTAAAAAAAAATTAAATACAATTATATATGCAATAGCAACAATTTTTGAAATAGAAAAAGTCTGCGTCCACTTCTTAATGTTTAGAATATATATTTGGGATATATTAATATCCTTACTGGAAATCGTGTGCTGGCGAATATTATTTTCCAAATAATAACACAAATGTTCTATGGTACTTAAGGTCTTGTAATTCTGGTAGTGTTTAAAGAGGCCTGGGAGCATGGTTCCGCTGCCAAACCCATACGATCGCTGCTGTAAGCTTATAGTCGTTGTCCTGCTGAAATAAAAAGGTTACTTCAAGGTTAGAATATTTATCTTCAAACTTACCGGCACCATTACTAGCCATAATCCCCCAACCCATTACACACCACCACCATGTTTAACCGTTGAAATTAAGTTTTGTTTGTTATAGGCTGTATTTATTTTCTCCATACAAGTTTTCTACCTTTGATTACAGATATGCAGAATTAACTCTTATCGGAGAAAATAATTCTTTTTCAGAATTGCATAGGTTATTTACATGCTTTCTTATAAAGTTTACCCCTTATATTCTATTATTTCTGGATATTTAAGGCGTCTTTCTTACAATCCGGGTATAATACTGGCTTTTCTTCAAAATTTTCCGCACAGTATCAGGATATATTTTGTTTTCAAGTATGTCGGCAATATGTGCAGCTAGTTTGAAGGCTCTTGCATTTACTTACACCTGGTTGATTATGCAACGTCTTTCTCTATCTGACGAAATTGGTGAGCGACCAGTGCGAGGTTTAAAAACATTCGTCTCCTTGAAGTTATATCATATTTGCATGTGACATATATAAAGATACAAAGTATAATGTTCACTAAAGGTATTAAAATATAAGGCAATTAGTAAACATGAACTAAAGACATTGATTACTAGTAATACATACAATATATAAAAAGCTATAATCCTATAATCCTATTGTGCCTTTAGGAGGTTTAAATGTTGCACGCTTCAGTGCGATTGTGTATAATTATTTATCATGTCAATTAAAATATAAGATATTGTTGTTAAAGTCTTATTTGAACATATATTATACAATATATGTAATCATTAATTATATAAATATCGCGAAAGTTTCAAAGTTTATTTGACTTCTTCATAATGGCGGAGTATTTATACATCTGATTATGAAAAGATGAAAATGGTTATTTGTACTACTGCCATTCCTGTATATATAAATTATGGACCAAAAATTGATAAATGCTGGTCCAGATTTTCAGACAAGGAAATTACGAAGACGTGCACATGGATTATGATGTCGTTAGTTGAGGGTGGTGTAAGAGGGGAGGGAAATGTTTCAGAGTATACTGGATTGGAAATGGGTG